CTAATTGGCACAGCGGGGACGAAGGGGATACAGTACCCCTGACTAAGACCCAATGCACACCAAACTAACATACGCTCTGCATGCGAGTATATATAGACAGGCTGATTTAGCTTGACTCAATCCCTCCTTTTCTACACCCTGTTTCATCAAATCATATCATTAAACTCGGGGGCGGGCGCAGCACCGTCTAGGTGGGACAGAGGCACGGGTATCATGGATGATAGTGTTTGAGCCTTGGGTATGGGCCTTCTCGCTACAGGTCCGTCATGGGAATGATGGCCGATGGGCCAAAACCTTTAGGGGATGGTTCGGCGGAGTGAGGGAGCCGAAACTAGGTGTCAGTCACTATCTCACTCTTGTAAAATGTGGGTAGATGCCGAAGGTTGAGTAGATGCTAATCCGTTTGCGTCACCACTTACAATTGCTGTCATCTTGGTACGCGGAGAAATCTTATTCGGTGCTTCTCTCTGTGGCTCTCTCTATCTTCTCCTGCTCTTGCTCTCGCCCCGGCCTGTTTCGTCATCTCTTCAGTCATCCATGGCCTCATGCCAGCTTGAATCAAGTCAAGAACCTAAACCCATGTTGCGCTGCTTCTCCAGGAATACCCTTTCCAGAGTTGATGGCACCCTCAACGTGCTCGCCCCGGTCGAGTTTCTTGTTCAGTCGGACGAGGATGAAGCGGAGGATGGTTGCCATGATGATGGCTATGAAAGCTGTGACGGAGCAGACGGACATTGCGACTACTAGAACGTGCAAAGTCGTCAGCATAGAACAGAGATGGCAAAAGTCACATCACCGCTAGCTAGCATGGAGAGCACCAGTCCGACAAAATTGCAAACGGCGTCTCTTGGATCGATCTCTGAAGTCGGGAGAAGTGGACGTACCATATCTCGGACCAGCACTCAAGGGAAACATATAGCTAGCATAAATAGAGGAGGTGTTGGACACGGCGTTGATGGCGGCTAGAGCTGCTGCACGCTTTGCAGGTGGTCGCGGCATGCAATTGCTGATCCAGCCTAGGGCTACAACATAGCCTGAAAGAGGGAGGTACACGTTAGCAGTTGTAACAGAGCAGCCAAATGCCGACATTCGGATAGAATGAAGGTAGCTCCAAGAATGGAGAAGCGCCTACCTGTATAAATTCCAGGCGGCATCAGCATCATGGCCAAGTAACGAGGAGCGGTACTCGTTGTTGCAGCGGCGATAATAAAGGCGATGACCGCAATATACAGTGGCAAGGTGATGTGAAAATATCGTTCTCCTGTTCTGTCGGCATGCCAAGCGTTGATGAAAGCTGTGATGACTGCCAGAACATATGGAGGGGCAGTGAGAAGAAGCGAAGCGACTCTCCCATATCTCAAGGTTTGGACGACAGTAGGAAAGAAGTTGGTAACGGAGGCGGAGGAGACGATGCAAAAGAGCATGACCATCTAGAAAGAGTTGGATCAGCTTGGGAAATGCAGGTGAAAGCTGAGGTACAGACGAGAATCCACATCTTGGTATCCAAGGCTGCCATCTTCATTCCACCCCAGAAACTCTGATGCTTACTATCAATCCAATCATCTTCGCCAATGTCCTCATCCAATCTCCAAACGGCCAACTCCTTCTCGTTATCAGACAGCCATCTGGTAGTCCGGGGAAAATCGGGCAGCAGAAAATATGCCCCAGCAGCAATGACAACCGTTATGGCACCTTCGATGATGAACAGCCATCTCCACGCTCGAAGACCCAGGTTGCCATCTAGGTTACCTGTAATGCCAGCAGCGATCAACCCAGAAAATGCGCCTGAAATGAGGGAACCAGAATAAAGCAATGCAGTGCGGAAGCCCAGCTCCTTTCTCGTATACCAGCAACTGAGGTAATAAAGACAACCAGGAAAGTATGCGGCCTCGATGAAGCCAAGGAAGAACCTAACGCTTGCGATCCCGGCGAAGTTATGAACTCCAGCAGTGGCGCCACTTATGACTCCCCATATGACCATCGCAGTAGGTAGATAAATACTTGGTTTGCCCACCTTGTTGAGATACAGGTTGCTTGGAATCTGCATCAGAACATAGCCGACAAAGAGGATGCTCACGGATGTTTGGTACTGGTTGCCCACTAAATTAAGATCTTCTTCAAGCCCGCCCAACCGTGCCGCGGCGATGTTGTTTCGATCCAAATAGTTCATTATGTACATAATAATGATCATGGGGATCAGGCGCAAATCAATTCTGCGAACGAGCATTTTCTCGGCATGTGCGCGGTCGTCTGGGCTCAACGAGCGGACGTAGGGAGGAGGTTGGCGCTTTGCGGAGGGAGCTCCTGTGGAAGGGGAGCTAAAGCTGCCATGCAGATACGCCTTTGGGTCGGCGATCTCGCTTTCTGCGGGTATTTTGCCATTGTCTGACTCGCGATGCGAGTAAAGCATTTTATCGCCTGCGATGAGACTGGCCATGACTGATGTGAAGGAGATGCGGGGAGGAGAAGGTCAACGGACAACGCAGAAGCAAAGATATGACATCTACAGGGGAGATCTTATTTGGATGCGATCAATGAAGGCGTGACGTCCAAGACATCGAAGAGGAGAGTAGGCAAGCAACCTCCATCTTGAGAAACCAATTTGCATCAGCGACGTCAATGCTAGATCTCGGTGACCTCGGTGATCTCGGTTGATCAATGTCGAATGAACGCAATGGTGAAACCCCAAAGCGCGACGTTGCATAGCGTCACAGCACGAGAGTCGATCAATTGAGGTCCTACTCCAATAGGAAGGCTGGTTTGGTGACCGGAACGGCTCGATGAGCGACATGCGGCTATTCTCCGGCAATGATCCGGCAATGATCCGGCAAATACCTCACCGGAAACGCGGGGAAAGACTGCCAAGGGACAGGCTCACTTCTTACCGGAATGGGTATAGCTGGTTGATACTGCGAAGTCCGGGAGCAGCAAAACGAGGAACAGGAACATCTTGCCCGTATCCTAATTATAATTCTAACACACTTGTGGTAAATGCGCCGGTTGCGATGAGAATTTGTGTCGCACGAATCGTCTAATCATTGATGTAATGCTCAGTCGACCAGGTATCATGCAATCCGCAGTACACTCAGCAGGGTCCTTATGTCTTCGCCCCACGACTCAACCCGAGTCACTTTAAAACGCCATACTGCTCATACCGCAGCCTTAACCGCCTCAATGAACGAGCGAAGCTGCATGGAAAGAGTCCAAAATATGGACCGGGATTGGTAAACATGAGTCAGGCTGCAACAACGCTGTCTCGGTTTCTGTCCTCGTAAGGCAGGATGTACCAGTACCTCTGCTGCAGCTCGGCTGGAACCTACTTTTCTAGACCCACGACATTAGGGATACCTGATATCAACAGATCTCTGCCAATCTTTTCTTGACATATAACATCATATCAGAGCAGATGTTACAATGGTATGATCAGCCGGGAGTGGTTTACACCAAGCTCCCACATCTTTTGTCAAACAGGGCGGAAGTCAACCCAAGAGGGCTATCACTCGATATGATTAACCCCACACACCTTTATTCCGACATACAAGCAGCTTTGCCAATCATAGTTCTTGAATCTTGAGCCTGGTGGAACTGACCGCTATTAACTGAGGTTGTACATGTCCATGTACTGGTTTCAGATACTCCAGGTTATTGAAAAGAGATCTCTCTCGATTGGTGATTCCAACGTGGAATAACAGCTCTAGTCCCGCCAATGCTAATGGTATTATACAACCCGAAGCCATAAGATGAAGACGCCACCAACATGTTTCTAGAGAGACATCAATAAAATTCACTAAATTCGATTTAATATATTCAAGAAAGGAAAATTCTGTCTTTCATCAGCTCATTATTCTTCATGCCACTCATGTATCGTCGGTGTGCGGCAAAGCGGTAACCACTGACTGCTGACTTCCCGTTCCTGCTTCGAATTGACCACCAATATTGTCACTGTCGCCCAGTGACGAAACAGCTGAAATCTCGTCTGAAGCTCGCTGGTTCAAGCGTGATCTCCGGTTGCTACCATGTGATGAGGCCGACATTTCCGAGATGCCATCGTCGTTGATATGCTTCTCCTCGGGCACGTTGAGCATGGAGCTTCGAGGCCGCTTGTCTCGAATCGAAACTGAGTATTCCGACGCGCTATCGCTGGCGTTTGCATCGTCGAAAGGGGATTGTCGTGACAAATTTCGTTCGCTCGCGCTAGGACTCGCTTGTCGGGCTCCCCTGCTCAGCACTGGGCCAGGACTAGACGAGCCTGCAAGTGCTTCTCCACGACCTAAGGACGTGGGTGGAGATGGTAAGGGCCAAGGCGACTCGGAGTTCGAGCTTGGAGGCCTAGATTTCCTAACGGTTACCAGAGATGGTGTATTTGGGGCCTCTTTCTTGGGACTTTGATCTCGGAAGGGGGAAGGCAAAGGCCAGTCGAGATCCTCATCGCTCGTTCGGACACGACCACTAGAAATTGACTGATGGTATGCATTGGTCGGTTTTCTGCCTGGTTCAGCAATAATCTGCGATCTTGTGACATCTAGAGGCTCAATCGCCTCTGGCAGTCGAGTAGTGGGAGAATCTGATCGCCCATCCTTCATGTGGTACGGTGGGGGAGAAGCTGAGGGTGTGCCGATCGGTGATCTAGAAGCCAAGCCGGGCAACACTCCAGGCGGGAATGTAGATTCAACATGCGAGATTATGGGTTCGGTCTGCCCCGGCATCGTCGAAGGTCTTTCTCGTTCGAAGGTCGCAGCCATGTCGGAATGTTCGGACATACCTTTGGGCTCGTGGGACGTTGTTGGTGCATCGACACCGAAATTCGACATCTCAGTGTCATGTGATCGGCTTTTGCGATGGTACTGCCCTCGAAAAGATTTTCTTCGTTTCCACAAGCAGAAGAACAGAAAAAGAACAGGCACAACTACTGCACCAATCGCCACCGGAGCAGCTATAACAGCGATATTATTCGAAGACCCGGTTGAAGAACCAGTCGGTCCTGCTTGCGGGCCTGTCGTAGCTGCTGATGAGATCCAACTGGTGGAAAAGGCTGAGGTTGCTGTCGTCGTGCCATACGAAGACGACGAACTCGACCAGGTTCCCACAGCTGAGGATTCCAGACCACTAGAAGATGCACTGGTGGCTATATCTCCTTGAGAGAGCAAATCACTTGAGGAAGGTAAAGGAGACTGTGACGTGGAAGTCGGTAAGGGCGGTACTACAGGATTTAATGAAAAGAGTGCAGAGGAAATTGACGATGACACCGCTGGGGGCATTGGTGACGAGGATGTCGTGGAAGTGGCCGAAGACGGCGATAGTGGCATTGGTGACGAAGATGTCGTGGAAGTGGCCGAAGACGGCGATGGTGGCAGAGGTATGGGTGTTGGACTCACTAGTGAGGTTGGCGGTTGTGTGGACGCTGGGGGGGGAGGTGCGGGTGAGGGATTCTGCATTGATGTTTGCTCCGGTAAGGTGGTCGGTGGGCGGGGCTCAGACACTGTTGCCGGTGGGCCCCTTTGCCCGTGGTCGGGCGGTGGGGAGGCCGTCGGAGCTGTGCCTGTAGAAGACGTGCTCGAAGGATCATGTAAAGGAGACGGTGGAGCTGGATGACTTGTGATATCTAACGGCGCCGTTAAAGTCATTGCGATAGGTGGGATGATTAGATTATCGAGACTGGCAGTCGACAATGTTGGAGTGGAAGTGCTTGACGTTGTGTTGTTGAAATCCATCATAGTAGTTAGGGATGGGGACTTGGGCTCAGCATCGGTGCTGTGTCATTCTGGCTAGTCCAATGCCGCAATATGCAACGTCGATCTATACTCTTGTAGCAGGACCAAAGTGGCAGATTCTCTCATAAACGCAAGAGAAACTTCAATGATGCCATCAGCGCGGTAAGGTGGATTCAACGACCCACAACATCAAAACGGAAATGCCAGAAAGAAATAATGTATTTTCGATCGCAAGAGTACCGAAACAACCTGGTGTCGGCTGTGGGGCTAAGAGCGGGAGCAGTAAGGCTGGCCCCCAAAGCTCCGGCCCCAGCAATGCAATCGTCCCATTGGATGTTCATGCAGCTACCCCAACTGGAAAGCCCGGCTCAAGCATCTGGGGGCATCCTTCGAAAAGAATTCCTCTGACCTAAGTGGCCAGAGGATACTCAGAAAAGAGGCCGAAATCCTTGCTGCGGATCCTGATGTTGGTTAAAACTGTACGTAGTAGTATTAATATATTGGAGAGATCCCTCCTGAGCCAGTTAAGCCGACAGTGAGGATCAGCCTTGCATAGAGTCGGCATATGAGGTGCCACCGAGCCCACTAAATCATGCCGAAATGAAAATAGCACACATGTGGTCATATAAGAGACGATTGGGTCTATGTGCTTATGCCGTATTCGGCTTCCATGCATGAAGAACAGACATCTCGAGCAATGCAGAATGCAGCATATAGCAAGCATACCGCAGTAGTGAATCGATGAGCTTGAAAGTAAGTTAGGTAATACGACAGCATCGGAAGGACAGACCACAGTGAGCAACCAACGTCAGCGACGAGGGTATGACCGTATGTTCGCATGGCTCAGTCTGGTGTGATTGATGATAGTCGAGAGGGGAGTCCTATACGTTTCTTTTAGTAGCAGGAAGAGGAGTGAGGGGTGCAGGATGTGTGAGGAGCAGTCGCGACAGCGTGAGAGTGTGACAGTGTAACAGTGTTCCGCGTTACAGTACTCTGTAGAATCTAATCCTCATTCCCCCGGAGCTTTCCGTAGCCAAGCCCCGGCAGAGCAATCAGCCTTGGCACACGCGGACAATCGAACAATCGAAGCACGCCGACTTGCAGGCAGGCGAAAGTGTCCAGATGATAGCGTACAACTATACACTCGCTTGATATCCCACCTCCTCAATCAAAGCATGAGCAATATCACGGGTGTGCTGAGGGGTGGATGGCATCCTAAGGGCAAAGATGGAGGAAGGGAGAGTTGGAGAGGCGACTTCAAGGGTGTCAACCAGGTGGTAAGTGCAGCATCAACAGAGACCGTAGACCTTAGTGCCGGCTGGGTATCTGACTGTAATAGGCTGGCTTGATTGGGAAAGGGAAGAACACAAGCACCCGAAGTGGTAGCAGTGGAGGCTCAGATCACATTTCTCGACCTCTAGCAGCCTTGAAAGACCCGGCAGCTTTCGGTCCTCCACCGAAGAACGTCAATTTTCACGGCGGAGCAGCTCTACCGAATCAAACTACTCCGGACAGACGAGGCCTAGGGGCACCTCTGCCTCAACCAGTCGTTGAGTCTGCAGAAAGAGCGGTGCGTGTAGGAGGAGAGCTGGAAGCAGGGCCGGATGTGAAGCCTACCGGTCCGCGTCTGCCATATAGAGCCAATCGAACAGGCTTGAAGACCGACCATCTACCTCCTCCGCCTCTACACCGAGCCGCCAACGCCGACAGCGGAACTGCGCAAGAAACAGGCATTGCTCAGGCTCCAGCCACACAGAAGCCATCTCTCCCACCCAGACTACCTCCGAGAAGTAATTGCTCGGGTCTGACATCGTCTGTTGCCAACATCTCTCCGCCTCCCACATATGACTCTGCCGTTAACGAACCCAAGCCTGCTGTAAATAGCTACATCAACCAAGAAGCCGCAAGCGGACTTGGTAAAGCCGGTATCTCAGTACCAGGCCTCGGCATAGATCAGAACCAGAGGACAATCCCGGCGGAGGAGAATCACTCCGCATCCTCTCCTCCACCCCAATTCAACGAGCTTTCATCCCGCTTCTCCCGCCTGAACAGGACATCAACCACACCCCAACCCTCCTCCTCTCCATCCAGCCCAGCCCAAGGCACAACCCTCGCGCAAAAGCAATCCGCAATCCAAACCGCGCAGTCCTTCCACAAAGACCCTACCTCCATCTCCGCCACCGACGCCCAGACCGCCGCAAACACAGCAAACAACTTCCGTGAGCGCCATCAAGAGCACATCGCAGCCGGAGCACAAAAAGCCAAGTCCCTGAACAAGAAATACAACATCACAGGCCGGATGAACAGTTTCCTGGAACAGCAGTCCGCGCCTGCACAGCAACAGCCACAACAGCAGCAGCCACAACCAGCGCCACAAGCGGCAGCACAGGTGCCTAGTTCGATTCCAACCACACCAGATCTAACCAACAGGAAAGCGCCGCCTCCACCACCGCCGAAAAAGCCTAACACCATGCATGGACAGCTCATGGGTGTGGGTGGTGGGCAGGCACCTCCGCCCGTCCCGCTCGGGACGAAACCGAGTCTTGGATAGATGTTCGCTCGCTTGCTGCTTGGTTTTTGTTCCGGCGCTCTGTCTCTGAAGAGCGTCATGTGGATATACTAGCTTGATCATGTTTAGCGCTGTTTATGCGAGAGGGGAAGCAGTTCTACGTGGCTTGTCGCGTTGGCGTGGCGAAGAGAGACCAGACGTCTACGGTGTCAAGGTAACCAGTCATCAGTAGGATAGCAATGAGACCATCAGCCGCAGCTACTAGAAGCCCAGTCAAGGTACTCGTAGATATTTGAGAAAAATGACAGTAGTGATTCTCTCCTGTTGAGGTAGATCAAGACCCTTTCAGGGCGCTGGCCTGCAGACTCTTATTTCACTTGCCTCTTGCCCGTCCCCGCTCTCCACGTTGAGGACATCACCCTCTGGGAAACAGCTAGAGAGGTATATACAGCCTAATTCACCAGCGTCGTTTATCTAGATGCATTGTGTACAGGTACATGCCTCTACGTATTAAGATGAAGCCTATCGGCGTTACAGATACCGGTAGAGCGAGCAGATTCGCGCTGAGTTGAGACTAAGCTAGTTAGTGCGTCAACGGCCTTACCTAGTAGTATAGATGCTAGTTTGGGGGTTATTTCTTGTGTAAACCAGTGTAATACAATGATAAATCGTGTTCCACTGCGCACTAGCCGGGTTATGTTTTCTCGCTGGCACAGGCCCCAAAAGCATTCCTCTCTGTTTCAGTTCAGCTCTGCAAGATATACAGACACGCACGCTACACGCAAAGCTTCTCCCCACTTATTGTGTGTCTAAACAGTCGCTGGCGACACTCACTTTGAGAAAAACAGGGCATATCAACAGGATCGAGTGGCGCTATTCTCACGTGACTTTCCAGGGCAAAGTCCGACCAGAGACGAACGGCTCTCAATAGATTGTGTTGACCTTGGCATTGAACTCTTCATACAGGCAAGGCGCTCTACAGAGCCTATCTACTATGGATATCAACGGCCCTTATATCTCCACACGCTTACTGCCACTGTCGCCGCCTCGCTGCCGATGTTTGTCTGTGGTCACGTGCCAGCTCTTGGCGCCTATCCACCATATTTTCCACCTACAATCTTCTTCCTACCAACATGATATTCGCCTCACAACAGATTGACAGCGAGGCCGATCGCGGGCAGATGGGGAGAAGGCGAGGGCCGGTTGGGGTGCAACGTCAGAAGGGACGATTCTTCTTCGTCGATTTCCCATCAAGTACCCTGATTAGGAAATTTCTAGTCCCTGAGAGCTGTGTCCATCGTCTGGGCATACATGGCCTCACTTCCCAGACAAATTTGGTGGACCGGGGAAAAACTTTGTCCGAACTCCGACCTCGCCAAGATCTACGGGGTAGTAGTAGAGTAGTAGTAGTAAAGTACTACTAAGTACTAACTTAGCAGGAAGAAGCCCACTTTAAAAAATGGTAAGAGAGCCGCTAAAGTGCGCTTAGAGTTAGCCTAACCGTAAGATTGCTTAGAGTGTACCAGGATATGTAGCTAAGGTATCTATAATCCAATGAGATTTCATCATTTACAACGTTATTTGTCAAAAATATGGTCTTACTGTGGTCAAAATATGCCTCTCTGATCATACTAATATGGTCCTCATTTGACAGAATAGTTGTCATTTCTATTAATGGCACTTAGCCCACATTTTTTATTACCCCTTCTCCTGGTAAGTAGTAGTACTACTGCATGACGGACAGAAATATATCATTGCTTGGCGCCAAGACTTTGCCGTCCCGCACCAAGGTCAACTGCTTAACACACTTCTTTTCGTTCAGTGACAAAGCTGTCAACCATCGTCATGGCTTATACAACGGGCTTTGATTTCCATGACGGCTCTATCAACGATGCTTTTGCCAATAGTACTACTAGCTGCAATGCTTCTCGTTTTTTACAACGATGGTTTCGGCTCCCTCAACAATGAAACGCGCAATAAGCACAACAGGTCGACGCATCCGGCCAAGTCTTTATTTACCCAGCAGCCCGTTTCTTCAAGACTCAAAAGCCCACTTCAATCGCCCTCAACAGCAAGTCTTAGCAAACAATTCCAAATCTCTCTTGAGACCAGCATCCGAGATTCTCAAAGAGAAGAACGACAGATGAACCCGAAAGAGATGGATGATACATTGTTTGCAAGATATAAACAGATTTTCAGTGACCGTTTCAGAAAAATAAAGACTGGAAGCTATGAAGTCTCTCTTGACAGCTTGAACGAGCGTGTTCCTATGAGCTTGAATCAATTTCAAGAGCTAGATCGGATACTCAATCCTGATGAAATCGAATCGGATGCTCGATATCCCTCTCTTGCTTACGACGCGAAGTTGTCTATAGGAATTATTCAATGGATGCCCTCGGCAGTTCATGAATTTCTTATCCGTCACATTGAGGAAGAAATCGGAGCAGTGAAGAGAACATTGAGTGATATAACTCTCAGGGAATGATTGAGCAATTCTGGTAGTACAAGAACTGTTTTATTTACTAATGAATATGAAGGTACTAGGAAAGAACCAGACTCATCATTCACAAATGTTGATCGTCTAGTTTCTGTCATAGAGGTTGGTTTCTCTGAATGCTATGACCATATGATAGCCGACGTCAATCTCTGGCTTAACCAAGCTCAGATGGTCATCTTGATCTGCGTCAATGAAGATCCCCCTTGGACAAACCCTAACAAAGATTGGGATAATAAAAGGCGATCAGAATTCCTTTCTGAACATCAAGCAGCGATTCTGCCAAAGGATTTCACATCAGAGATCTCAGATGATCCATTTAGTGCTCTGATGTTTGACGGTAAACGTTGGTTTAACAAGCTTAACGAGGTTTTTGTGGAAAAATGGAAACGAGATCATATCACTGGTGTACCTAAACAAGATGGTAAGCGGACTGTGAGTAAAATTCCTCCTCTCTTTGATGTTCATGAGACTAATGGTGGCTTTGGAGTGGGTCATTGGTGGACATGATCAACATGATACTCCCTTTGAATGTATATTGTCCGAAATCTATGATATTACTCCTGAAGATGGCGGTTCCGAGAAGGTGGTTCTGACCAATAAGGCCATGAGACGTACAGTTCATCGGGCAATCCGTATTGATGCTGCTCGCCGCGTGAACGAAAAGCTGCTAATGATGAGGACTGAGGATGAGGATGAGGATGAGAGGGTCGGGACCACCACATTCGAGCACCATATTCGTACAAGCAGGGAACTTCGATCGCGAGCACTCAGTGAGCAAGGTTCACTTAATTTAATCCCGCACAATTCATCATTTTCTTTACTAAGCAGCTTAATCGTGAGTAATGTCTGATTACTCGTACACCAATCTTGACCTCTTTAAATTCCATTTCCACTTTGAGACCTGAACACACGTGACCGCAATCTGCACCATGAATAAACGGCCTGAACTGTAGTCATGTAAGACTATTTAAAACCTGAACACCTCTGATTTGATTCTGAGTTTCCTGTGGGATCCAGATTCTGAATCCTAACTTCTAACTCGAAAAGTCCAATTTTGTATTCTATTGAGTTTTGATTTTCCATTTTTATTGATTGGTGAAGTTTGGTGTGCTAAGGTCACGCCGCAACGCGGAAGGAGGAATACGTGATGATATATGAGCAGTGACCATGGGTCAATATTGAAATAAGGGAGATTGCTTACCATCAACGTCCTCATTCTCCCATAAAACATCGCCAATGCTGCAGAAATGGAGCATATTACACTGATCCAGTACTCAATCGAAGATATACTTGAGCGTGGTGGATTACTTGTAATTTTCAGAGAATTTCTATAACCTGGAATGGTACTTCTGTAAGACCAGCTGCAAAAACTCTTACGGCTTGGCAAGACAAGGTAAATTGTACGTAGTAAAGACCGAGACCCAGCCACAGCACCGCTAATCAGGCTTCAATTCCGTCAGCATCCCTGACGAGTCCACGTGGGTCGTCTGAGTGATGAGCGCAGGCGGATCGGGGATATATTGTTCCACCTTCCACTCTCAGCTCAGCAAGCACTCAGACGTGATTGAAAATCGTAGTACTAGTATTCCAATGCCGTCACATATGCACATATATGGTAAAGCCACAGTGTTTGTTAGATCTACAAGGGCATGACGAACGTCCGAGGATTCACGATGGTGAAGAGAATGGTGGAAAGTAGCCGGGGACACTCCGTACTCCGTACTTCTACCTAACCAATTAGCTACCCATGTACCTATCTGACTATTCTTCCTGATGAACTTTTAAGCTAGCGCATACCCGTACGAGTTAGCAACCGTATATCTATTGGTCCCGCGGTACTGTCCGTAATTCGTGGCAAATTCCGGTCCCCATACTTGCGTATACATCGAACAGTAAATGCCCTGCACGACATTGTCCTTGCTCAACAGGTACGCATTCACGAATGTGCAACGCTTGGGCGGGCTTCCGTCTTGGGGCGGATGGCGGGCATTATAGGCTGTTTGAGCAGAGCAGGCAGCCACGCACTGGGAATAGTCGCCGTTGGCGTAGAATTTGTAACCCATGTAAGTGTCAACGTTGCCTGCAGCCAAGGGTGCGTTGATGGCGCCACCAAACCGGGTTGGGCCGGTGTAGCCTGGGTATGATGGGGGAGGGGCGTCTTTGAGATAGCCATTGCTGCCTGCAATGACGACTTGGAAAGCCTTTCCATTGGCGTCCTCGGGGCCGCGCCATTGGCCGACATTTCCGGCACCCTCCACGGTCATGAGCGTGTTCTTCCACAGAGTGCAGCGGATGGTGGTAATGGAGGAGGGGTTAGGGCAAGCTGGGCCAGCATCAACGCTGGGATCTCGCTCGAAATACAGGTTGAAGCTTGTGCAGCCATCTGGATGAGAATCACATTTCTGCTGGCAGAGGTACGGGTCGTAGGTCTTCAAGAAGTGGAGACCAAGGTAGGTTCCTTGTTCGCAGGAACCGGTATGGCCTTGAAAAGTGCGAGCATAGCCCTGGGGAATTGGCGCTCCGCTAGACTGGTCGCTGTAGGTTGGAAAGGCGAGGAATCCCTCTGCAGTATCGGGTGTGGCTTTAGGCCCGTAGCCATCTATTTGAGACATTAGCCCTATTGTCTCGAGTCGTGTAACGAGACCCACTCACTCGGCTGAGGAGCACAGTCCCCTTCAGCTCGCTTGACCTTCGTAGATGCAGCTTCGACCGACGCAGCAGCTTCTTTGCTGGCAGCCGCGGCATCAAAAGTATCTGGTTGGGCAACCATCACATCGGACGATGGCCCAACTGGAGGGATGTCGGTGGCGGCCACTCCATCGAGATCAATCAGTTGTGGAGTTGGAACTGCTGCAGCCAAACCGACGAGGGCGCCGAGGACGAGAGATGACTTCATGTTGAGGACGAAGCAATCGAGCGATGTTTGCGCTGATGGAGGGAGAGAGTGTAATATGGTGAGAGAACTGATGAACAAGGACCGATTGTAAGAAGACGGAATTTCTGCACCCTTTATAGATAGATTCACCGTGTTTTCACTCTCACCAGATCACCCCAACCACACAAATACACACTCGCTTCCTTCGTGTCCCAAAGAGGATACACTCGGGACTGTCCTCAACCTAGACCGCACCGCAACGGGAGTCCAGGCCATAGTCAAAGTATGGCCTGAGCTGTCTTTCAGCTTCCCACGAGGCAGCACCACGTGTGAAACGGGACAAAAGCGTCTGGAAAGAGGTTCGGCTGAAGTTGCCCGAGCGCATACAGGCGAGATCACTAGATAATGAGCTGTCAACATTGATGCAAGGTGCACAATTACCTTGAGTCGCAAGAATACGAGCAGCAAGCCACAGGAGAAGCTCCCAGGTCGAGCTCTGGATATGCGGAACAATTGGAAGGTGGTACCTGGCTGCATGGACAAGTACTACGTAGTACTACTACGGGGGGGGCCTGAAGTATTGTCAGCTCAGCGCTAGTATCTTTGCTTGTAAACTCTCTCTGTACAGAGCCGCTATGCTCAAAAGAAGTTAGATGTAATGATTTGACTCATCAGAATGGATGCACACAGAACAAGCTTTATATTGACGAATCATGACACTATGTCGCTGTGATAAGAACTAGCTGCTCCTAGCACCAGACTAACAATACTTCAGGCCCCTACCGTAGTACATATGGAGTTACCACAGGTCCGGTCCATGGTGATTTAGGACAAGGAAGCGCCAGCCAGACCTGGGATGAGACTTGACAGCCCTTGAACTACTACGGTAGTAGGCATGAGTATTATCAGTTCCGAGCTAGAAATTCTGTATTTGACCAGATTATTACGAAAGTACATTATACTTGAAGGGTACTAGTCACAATAGCTCCAAGCTTCAGGCCAATCATTGCAATTCTAAATGGGCTAAGATCTCTAGGCTCTTCGGAGTGGGCTGGGATTTGGTATCCAAAACTAGCTGCTACTAGCCTAGGCTAACAATACTTATGCCTCCTACCGTAGTAACACGTGGCGCAGATCAGGCACCAGGACTTTTAATTAGATTGTCCAAATTGGACCGTTAGCCCATTGAGAAAAAGTCAATAGTCTATTTAGGTAAAAGCAGGCAATGCTAGGCGATCCCATTCAGGCTTTGCCGATCGAGCTCCAAGGTGGAGCGTATCTTGATTACCCTATGTCAACCTGCCCGCAATACTCAGATAAAAATACGTGAGGGTAAGAAGACGGTAGGATTGGAATGCTCTAGCCACACCAAATGCCAGAGCCTATCCGTTGATCTTCTAGAATTTTTGGCTCAAGAGTCGAAGTTGTCATATTGCAGCTTGCGGTGTATGGCCTAGCATCGGATGTTTTTCATTTTGAGACTCGGGTGTGTGGCTTGCGTAAAAGGCGTCTGACAAGGTCCAGATTCAAAAGGAACCGCAAGCCCGGTCAGCGCTGCCGTAAGAGCCGCGCAAGTGATGAGATCCTAGGCAATTGTGACAAGAACAAAAGTTGCTGAGTCTGGACCTCGACGTGCAGCATGAGTGTCAGAAGCTGAACCCACGTGATTAGAGCCATTTTTTGATTCTCTAACGGGGTGACAATGGATCCGTTCAGATTGACGGTGTACGTGGTCGGATGATTAGCTGCGGCAACATGGCAGCACAAAAGACTTCTTCATTACTTTTACTCCGTACTGCCGGCCTTTACGCGGTCGCCTTGAGGAACCTGTCTCCGCGACGGGTACAAACGCGATGTGCCTCACGACTGCACCGTTCATGAACCTGTCACCCGCTATCATCTCGACATCCTTCAAAAGTCGTGCCCGCTCGTACCCGCCAAGCATTCACCCGCCAGGGGGTAATGCCACATGAGGAATTGTCGCGTGTTACGGAGCGGATATGGCCCAAGAGGTCAGGCACTATGTTGATGAACTTGAGCCAAGGACCCAGAATCGCACAGAACAATAAGACTGAAGCAGATAAGCGTCATAACCAAGAATATGTGATTTGTCAGATATATTTGCTGACTTGTTCTGACCTCAGCAGAAGACTGAGTTGCCTCGAACGGGACTTCAGCTAAAGGGAGATCGCTGTATTGTGCAAAGGTAAATAGAGCATATTCGCCAGTAATGCCCAACGGCAGCGACGAGATGGGAAGATACTTGTTCAGAAGTCTTCCCCAACGAAGGCCGAGTTGTCCCCCGCTCAGCTTGTACATGTCTGTTAATTGGCTTTTGTTTGGAGAAGCAAGCGGATTGAACCCGGAAGTGACATAGTCCTCTGACAGCGTCGAATAACAAAACAGAGATGAAGCAGGGACAGCTCCAGTCGCTGGTGTAAAGTCTGCAAAGAGAAAAATAGGCAAATTCCGCGTTCTCAAATGGAGTCTAGTTCTCCAGAAACTCAGGCACTCTCTTCAACCACCTGATGGCCCACACGGTACAGTTTTGGGCCAAAAATTTGACAGCGGCTTGGACAGCCGAGGTTTTTAAGCTACAATTCGTTGTAGAAATACCCTAAGAATATATGCTCCCAGTCACAGATTGAATGTTGATGGTTCGAGGACAATTATGATCGTCAGATACGACGTCCCCAGATCCAGCGGCGAGATCAGCGAAGCGGTTCTTATTGGGTGCGAATGTGCCCATGGAGAAAGTGGAATCAAAGGGAGCGGAGCTGTTAGGCAGCCGGATCGACCCGACACATGGGCTAAGGCCTCGTTGACACTGCCAGTCCACCTCATCATCCGGAAGGACTTCGATAGGATCCTCACCTGTTAGGTCGTAGTAAGCAGAATCCATAGTAAATGACGAGTTTCCGGTTTGAGCTACACCTGTGACTGGGATGGCAACCAAAGAAGAATAATCCACATTGGTATTTAGCACTTGAATACATCTGGAACTATCTTTCAAGATGCCTCCTAAGGCCCCGATCCTAGGAATCTTGATGTTGCCCCAGGTATCCTGAGGTGCTGACATAATCGCATTTGGCGCAATGATTGAAGCGCGATAGACTGCATTAATTACAGGAAGCTGAACACCAGTACCTTTCTGGCCAAAGAAGATAGAAGCAGGACTGAGTGCTGTTGTGCTGGGTTAGCCGACGGGGCTGTTGACCACTGTAAAACGTTCTTCGATGATGCTCAGGAGGCGGAGAATGCCTTGACCGCCAATTGGCGATAAAATCCATACGACGAACAGGACCAATTCGACCAAATTGGAGGCTCTTAGTCGTAGATGTACGTTGACTGTATTGTAGACTGTTTTACTTCCAGTACTTGCTCCAAAACCTGGATTCGGGCACCACGTTCCACGCGCCAACAAGCAATTGCATCTAGGGTTCGTCCGACAATCGCAGCAAAAATGATTGGGTAGATCGAGACCGCCTTCAGGCAACCAATACTTCTCGTACGACTAAAGGAAGAGCTGTCGTTGGACTGCATGAGCTACTCACAATCGAGGTGACATCGATGATTTTCCTGTACCCTAGATGGTCAAGCACGATCTTGCCATCAGCAAATGCAGCTAGGACTGCCATTATGATGAGAAGCAGTGGGACAACGCTAGGAATGATAGTTGATTCCCCCCCAGCTCGCGTGGTTCGGTAGGCCAACCTTTCACAGTAACTAGTTAAGGGAAGATTGCTTCATCTCTCATGGAGACACGAGTGCTCATTGCCGCGTTTCGTACGCGTTATCCCTGCGCTTTTCTTGCTTTTGATTGGTCAATTTCTGCTGCAATTTCGCGGCTAATTTCGCTGTGCCGTACAGCAAATTTGTACTTATTTCTGCGCCCTGCGCACCTTTTTGAACGAACAGAGCCATTTCTTCCACCTGCTGCACACAACGTTAGTGCTAGCTACCTTCCGTACTTGAGCCGTACTGTATGGAACCGGTTGTTGAAGGCCTGGCGAGAAAGTGTACTGAGGATTTTGACGTCTTTGACCCGGGTAGTAGCTGTGGAGACGCAAATTATGTTGAGGTGAAGGGGGTTATAATGGAGTACCTGTCGGTTTCATTTTGTCATGATGATTGCTGTAATAACAAGAGTGTATCTAGCAGCACCCATTGTTGCTAATCGTGTTCCGATTGACAACACTAAGTGAAAGAGTGCCATCTGCCTTGGTGACACTGAGCGTAACCCATGAGCGCGCTCCATCCGAACAGAATAGCCGCGGGCGGGACGAGGCTGACGGGACGAGGCTGAAGAGACAAGGCTGGCGGCCCATAGAAGAAGCAAGGTCTTGGGGGAAGAGTGAGAAACTGGCGATTCGGTCTGGACTCCTAGCCTCGCGAAGGTGAGCAAGGCGCAGTAGCGCTCTGTCATTTGGAGGGGAGTTGTATGGAGTATTCGCTACTCTACTACGTACAGTGGTGGTAGTATCTTCTCTGAATCCGTCTCGCTTCCTAAATCTTAAATCTGCCACACTAATACGGTAGGAGGCATACTAACTTAGTAAGTAGTCAATGTCACTCGTACGCTAGTGATAGCTTGCAACGCTAAGATAGAACGCCACAAAATCGCTCGATTAGGACGAGTCTTTACTGCGCTGTAGTGAATGTGCATTCTATTAGCATCAATGACTGCCTGGCAGCTTACTGGCATTGTAAGTTTGATGAGTTTGTAGATGGCGTAGATGGCGTAGATGGCGTAGAATGAGACAGAATCAGTAAACTTAGGCGTAGAATAAAAAAAAACGCGTATAATAGCGGCAGCGAGGTCCCAGGGTTGGGGGAGCTGTAAAGGGGGCGTTTTGGTACCCTGTTACTAGCGACGCGGGTTACATGAATTATACCTGGTACCGTAGTAACCACATTGTTCATCTATCAGCCGACTTCATGCAACGCCACCAGGCATCTAAATTTGTATCCGACCCTATGAGCGCCTATTGGCGGGATTTTCTAAGCATGATCTCTGCATTTTGATGGATCAATCTCTACTGCAGTTTCGCAGCTACTTTCGCTGTACCGTACTGCCAATCTGTACGTGGATCTACGCAAGCTGCCCCCTAATGGACAATACAACCTGCTTTCTACGCACCCTCTGCAGATTGTCACACAATTTGCCGCCATTTCACAGTATTTCAGTTGTTACTGTTTTGACGAGTATCAGGTGCAGGGTAAGGGTACTGGAGTCGCTTAATGCTTGCGATACCTACGGTGCCAGACAACCTATCAAGCCACCAGCAAACTTTATCTCTTGACAGAAACACGGTCTGAAATGCAATGTGGGGTATCATCTATGCATAGCCATCGCTTGCTGGAACTCTCACCTTGCATAATCAGCTACCATCAAGCAGGCACACGGCTTGAATTGGCCTGTACGTTCGTCCAGTCTTGACTCGCTCGAAGGTTCTCATAGTAACACTCCAGTATTCTGCTGTTATGCGCTCATCGGCCTCCCCCAAAATCAGGTTTGTACTGCTTGATGCCGCTCTTGGAAAGCTCTCTCAACGCCATTGTGGCATACTGACTTGAGCCTAGCTGCATCTTCAAGATCACAGCAAACTTGTCTCCCTCGTCCGGATCTCCACTAACCGCCTCAGATGACTGCAGCCCACCTGACTCTCCTTTGATAATGTCCATGTCCGTCTTCACAAACTGCTCGTTGTCATTTTTGTATGCTCGAACCTGAATATCGTATCCACGCTCAATCCTCGCAAGTATCTTGCGATAGCCTCCACTAAGACTGAGGTCCTTCTGTTTTCGCCGCATGTCGAATGGGTCGAGTCCGCCTCCCCTTTCGCTGCTCATGGAGTCCTTATAGAACTTCTTGATATCGTTCGCCGGATAGAGTACGTCAAAGCCTGGAAGGGGTAGCACGATGTCGAAGATCGAGTACTTGCCACTGGCTGCTTCGTCAGCAGTCAGCGCACGAGCTCTTTCAAACATTTCGTTAGCAGCTTGGGCACGATCTTCTCCAGCTGGCTGGATAATGACCTCCCCATCGGCGTCCACTTCTTCAGACATCGAATACGCAGTAGACTGTTTGTCCTTATGCTCATGCATCAGAACTAAGTCACCCTCAACGACTTGGTTACCAAATAACTTCCAACGCTCACCCACAGCCAAATTCCAGATCAGACTCTGGTATGCATGAACATACATTAACTTGAGGTTCCGTTGAATCATCTGAATTGCCCCAAAATAGTCGCGCTGGTTTCTCCCCAGGTGACGGATGATGTTTCCCTCTGCGCTGAATTTTCGCGGCAGCTTGTCTAACGCCTCGTTCACTCTTCCTGTTGTTTGGAATGTGTGGATTGCTTCTGCTCGAGCCTTGTCTTCAGTACTGACTTGTTCGGTTGAGTTCTGATCCTGTGCCACGGCGAGGATGTGTGGACTGTAATGTAGTATTGCTTCGCAAGCGCCTTGAAAGTCACCCTGCAGAAGTTTGATACCAACCGCATCAGTTCGAGTAGCGAATGTACCGAATCGCTGCAAGCCGTAGTAATTGAAGAAGCCCTTCTCATGAAGGTCCTGACAGGCTTGTGATACGGTCTGCTGTGCGGCCGAGATCTTCTCTTTGTTAGTCAGATTTGGAGCATGGTCCCATTGACATTCTCGCAGAGTGATGACAAACTCATTGCCTTTAAGATCACCAAGCTCAAGGCCTTGCTTTTGATACTCGAAATCACCGATTGCTGCGTTTCGCAGCGTCTTGTTCTGATACGCCAATCTGTTGCCCTCCACTCGGTAAACAGATGCACGTTGGACAGTCACTGCTCGCCTATCTTTTGTACCCGCAAACTGAAAGCTTTTGGCATTCGTCTTCAGTGACCTTGCCAAGTAAGAAATTACTTCCATCGTATCTTTGTTCTCCTTATAGATACTGAAGTGGAGATACTCACCTCCGCGCTCCGCCCAGCCAAGCTTTCCTTGTCGTCGCGTTTGATTTCCGTGGTAGTCTGTCTGATTCGACCGACCTTTCTGTTGGGGCATAGCAGCTGAAAAGGTCATCAAATTCTTGTCCTTATCTGTCGAGGATGCGATTCTAGAGCCAAAGATTCGCCGGATGTTCTCATGTAGTTCTGTACGGACTGATTTTTCCGCTGGAACAGCAGCAGTCACAACTCCATGATCGCGTGGTCTGGCTGTGGGAAATGCCAAAATCTTGTTGTACAAGGCTAGAAGCTCTTCTGCTGCCTTCTCATTTAGACAAGTCATCAGTCTGGAGATGTCTTCAACAGACACCTGGGTCATAAGTCAGCTTTGATGGACCATTTTAGGTCATGGATGCTTACTGGTGAGGTACCAGCCTCCATGGCTTGATTTTGCGGCGTTCTCGGCTCTTCTCCACCGGTCTCTAGGGGTTTGATTGCTGTGGGCGACGATTCGGTCATGGGGCCTGAATCCAACCCGCCCAAGGATGGAATGTCTGTTCCATTTTGTGCCGATGGAACCGCTGGCTGGATTGTTTCATCAGGATAGCTGACAGCAGCACCACCCAGCTTTTGCAGATGGACCACTCTGCCGTTCGGGAGAATCTCATTCACAAGAAAGTCAGTATATCGTTTCTTCACGATGCCTTCAAAGCCTGGTGACTCTGAAGAAACATAGTCGGTGATGCCGACCTCCGCTTCCTTCGCAGCATGGGCAGCTCTATCATCAGATATCATAGTAGGTGATATAGTAGAGCACGGGAGTACTGGATCAGAGCTCGCGAGACTTTGACTCTCTGGGGACAGCTTCGCTTTTTTGAGAGGCGGCTCTGCTATTTCGGAAGAGCTCATAGCTGAGGTCAAACAGCTTGACCACCACTAGGGCCAAGGAAGCGGCAATATCCCTCTGCCACGTGAACACAATACCTATGTCTGAGCACAAACCTTACGAGACCTAAAGCTACTAGTAACGGACTGCATCTCAGGACTTGGTAGTAGGCGTTGATGTCAAAAATTATGAATCTGTGGAAGATTTGTTCTCGCCAAGGAGTGTATTTTTGGGCACAACCTTGCTTAGTCATCGATGCTGTGCGCTGTTCCCCTTGACCATAATTCCCCCAAGATAAAATATTTTGTATAGTTATAGACTCTATACCAATATCAACTCAAGATCTCTCCGGACTAACGACCGTCACTGTCCTACCCAGGCTCTTCAGCTCCTCCTCCATAACTCTCCGTGTATCAGCCCAGTCCACAGCAAAAAGCCCACTATTGATTTTGCAAGACCACATCTCTCCAGGGATAGTCCCAACGCCGTCCCCTTCCGCTTCGTGCTCGATCTTCGAAAGTTGTGTCTTCAAATCTTTCAAGGACTTCCTTGTATTTTCTAAAATCGCATCCGGCTTGTCCATTCCTGGACGCGTCTTGGTAGGCTTGCCATATCCTACACTCGTAAAGAGGCATGCGATCCAATGCTTCTTCTTCAAGCCTGAATCTGCCTTCTTGTAGTCTTCATGCTGCGGCGGGATGAGTTGAGTAGTCCCGATAAGGGAATCATTTGATGTAGCTTTGCAGTAATCATTGTGGACTTTGTATGCTGCTGGGTACTGTGTTCCAGTTTTTGCAATCAGCAGCCGACCGCAGGGCCAGATGATTGAGGTCAGAGTCCAAAGATATGGTGCGGTAAATCAAGTACCACTTACTTTTGTTCTGAAAGCCTTTGCGATACCGGCACCCCATGATCCGAGACAGTTACATGCATCTGCGAAGCATCACATCAGTACCGGGGTATGGATTGGACTGATGAGCGTACGGATCAAGACTGCATTGTCAGGGCTATCAAAAAGGTCTCCAGTTACTTCTTCTATAATGCTGCTGCTTGCTGCACACACTGTGTCTTCAGCCATTCCGGGGGTCTTGGATAGTTAGGTTGTGCTTCAGTGCTCTTTGCGAGAATCATGAACCGACCACGGGTTACGAATAAGGGTTGCGAATAAGTGCGTCGACAGATACTTGTGCACTAAAATTGCATATTTCAGATATAGCACACTAAATGCTCGAAATGAAGAGTACTACTACTGCCATCCCTGGACCCTAATGATATAGCTCAATTAGGCAGAATAATTTCTGGGTTGTTTTCAAAATTCCGCCCTAAGGATTGTATGTTGGAAACTATTAAACCTAGGGGTTATAACGTTACATCCAATGCTGCTTTCACCAGGCTATGGATGTTGTAATACCTGAAGCTATAATGTCTTGTGGTCAAGAGGAAGCCTTATGGGCTGTGCTGCAACCAGATCTGGATTATCATGCCACCCCGTACTGCGGATAGCGTGACTGGTCATAAGGTAGTTGATAAAGACCGCCGGACAAAGTCTGCTTCAAGCAGCATAGTCCAGCTAGTTGTGCAGCGAATTGTCCAATAAGTCAAGTTTTGTCAAGAAAGCCAAAGACCAATTCGTCCCCAATGGACAACTTGGCATCCAACTCCAAAGACATCTGCACGCCACACCAGAAATGCCCTTTCATCTCCCGAAGAAGGCCATGAAGCTCTTCCGACGCTTCAGCCGCTTCTTTTCGGAGCTATCGACCGCTGAAGGTTTGCCGTCATCGTTCTCTCTTGAGCTGAACTTCTCGTGCGTAATGATGTGTGGCATAGGTGTCTTTACCCGCTCCATGAAAGCAGGCGCATACCCTCTCTTGCCCTTCCTGCTTCTGTTTCTGCTAATACTTCTGAGAGCTCTGCTGTCCTCACTTGAATGCCGCTCCAGCTCCTCAATCTCTTGCAGAGCAGTCATACCGTTGGTAGCAAGGTTTTCTTCCAACACAGAATCAAAACAGATGATACCACGTCTGGGCGCTATGTCTAGCGTTTCTTGCATGAAGCCTTGAACTAAGGCAGTGCTGCGTTTGTTTTTGGTGGGGGCAATTTCCGAAGCCAGGGCTGTAATCGTCAGGTAATAGGCCGGCTCCGAGCTTCCACCGAACAGCATTGCCTGAGAGGTGCAGACTGACACGAGTATGCAAGACTCTGGCCGCTGGTAAATCTCGGATAGCTGAAACGATATATCGGACAGAAATGTCTGCTCTACCTGAAGCTGTGAGGGAGTCAGCATCATCCAGCTTGTGGCTTCCGCAGGCTGACCTTGCAATTCAGTTTGATCTCAGCGATGATGACAGAATCACGGATTACTCGGTCTTTCGCTGTATTATGAGGCTCGCGGTACGCGAAAAATCCACCGTAGTATTGGCTGCGCTTCTTGGATAACTGCTGGTGATCCCAGGGACTTGCTAGTTCTGACGCCATGGGCAGATCTCTAGCTAATATCGTGCTGGAAGTCCGCACGTAGTTCTCATTTGTCATTTCCGGAGGCGTGGAAGCTGCTCTTTGAGACTCGACAATGGTTTTTTGGGTAGATAATGACCGATTGTTCGCTGCCCTGGGGGATTTGGGGAAAATATCAGATATACACAGGTTGTGGCTCCCTTGCGGCGGACTAGACTCAAGATCGCGAGCTGGTGTTGTCTGTTCCATTGTTATAACCATTGCCGATATTCCCAGGCATCAGAATTCGAAAACAATATCCAGTGGAACAGAACACAATAGTCGATCAACAAGCCTGGCCAGAAAGTCGACTTGTCGAGTGTAGCGGCGGTCCTATGCATCAAGATGAAGTGCTAAGATGTGAGAGGGAACGATGCAGAGGGAATATTACTGCTTATGCCAGAAAGAAGACCAGAAGTGATCCAAAAAGAAGTAGAGAAAGGGATTCCGGGGGTCGGGTAGGAGTTTTGTTCGAGTCTTGGTCAATGAAGCGATTGGAAAGAGAGAGAGGCAGGATACAGGATCTGTGGTTGAAGCATTTGCACCTTCCAAATTGTATAGCTCCATAGAATGTCCCTTCCTGCCACGACGACTCACCTTGCAGGATGGATCAGGCGGTTGCAGTCGCAATGCACGGGTCGAATTTCAGCTTCTAATCACAATGGTGTGAGGTGGGGCTTGCGGCAATACCGCCAGCGACATGTGAACGACGGTTGAGAAACTGTTGCCTTCCAACAAAGCTGAGCTGAGCACTCGACTCAACTCATGGAGGTTGCCCGTGGAAGATTTCCCAAGTCGCGATACCAGAGGTATCATGGATCATAAAGGCGTCAAGACAGCAGAATAGTACTGTAAGAGAATCTGCGTTCGCTTGGCAAGTTATCTCCACTGCGTGCAGTGGTACTAGATAGTAGAACTCTGAGCCAAGGAACAGAACAGCTTCTCACTCTCATATGAATATGGGATCATGATGTACGAAGCGGAAAGATGGGGAGGTAGGACTATTCTACAATTGCTCGGGCGGTCTCGAATATCTATTGCTCACTTGGTGCTCTCACTGAGCCTCCCAGGAAAGCGAGAGATTAAGGCATTGGAGGGTGCTAGTGTATTCATTATGCATGACTGCGTGGAGGCGTGCATAAAAAGTACATGTCATGCAGTGCTACGGAGTACTCGGCTGTTTCAATATTGTAGGGTCTAATTACCTAGCGTGACGTAATTGACGTCAGGAAACCCCTGACGTCATCATGAACCTGCCGCCTGAATCTCACCCCATTAGGGCATCTTGAGGCTTGTGTTGTAGCCTACGGAACAGTCTTGCAGTACAAATACAATCCAACTCCCTGTCGTTTTCAATATTTGTGAGATACTGATCTGCACGCAAAACATCGACATCAGCATGAACCGCCTGACTCGCATTAGCAGATCCAAGAGCTCCAACAACTTTAGCAGAGTTTGGAAACCCCGAACATATCAGATTGCAAGTACGTTGCTGGATCTGGACCCACCCTCACTTGCTGTCATCAATTGATTTTTTTGTGCTTTAGACATGAGTGACAAGAGCAGTCTCGACAAGGAGCATGGCTCCGTTGGGAGTGCCTTCAAAGGTACGAAAAGCCGATCTTCGAGATGCCAGCAGGTTTTCTGACTTGCACAAAGCGGATGGCTCGGTCGGAGGCACAGCTCAGAAAGTCGGCGGCCCTTTCGATAAGGAGGGTGCGGTTGGCAAGCAGTTCACCGAAGGTGGCGCACTGGGAGGAACAGCCCAAAGTGCAGCAGAGACAGCGCAAGGAGAGAAACCCAGTGCTTTTGATGCACAGGGGATGATCGGCAAGCAGTTCACGAGTAAGGACACAACTACCCCTATTTCATTCATCACTGACGCTGCTTAATTTAGCCGAGGGAGCAATAGGAGGGATGGCACAGAAGGTGGGCGGCCCATTCGACAAGGACGGCGCGATCGGAAAACAATTCAAACCAGATGGTGCACTTGGTGGCACAGTTCAGCAGAACTTGGGCGACAAGAAGTAATGGATTCTGTAGTCATGGGCTTGAGATATCAGTCTCGGATTGCGTTCGAAGATCGCACCCTGTAAAGGATTTTCAACCCTGCTCTCCTCCACTTGGCTTCATATCGGATATGCAGTTGTGGTATTTCTGTGTCACTGTTTCTGCTGGTCTCCTTGTTGGCCTGAAACTCACTCACAACAGCATTGCCTCGGCCACAACGGAAGGGGGCCTGCGTCACTCTGACCGCCGCACCCGTGCGCCAAGGTTTTCACGTGACTGCGCGGTTTGAACTAATTTAGGAATCGTGTATTGTGAGACGCGAGGTTGTGTGCATTAGAAGGTTACCATTTCCGAAACATCCACGTACATTTGATTGCACTCTCCATGCCAAGTCATCATGCCCTCTACATCTGCGGCAGCGGTGACAAAACGAAAACGTCCTGCGTTCTCTCCTCCACGGCCAAAAACGTCGAAGGCCACTAGGAATGGAGCTTCTAGACCTAGCACAGGCAAAGCTGATGGCCGTGCATCATCCTCCAAACAGTCTAAACAAGATCCTCTGACCTCATCCACATCATCTGAGTCTGATTCTACAGCAGAGTCTGAGCCCCAATCTGCTTCTCGTTCTCCATCACCGCACTCAGAACCGGACTACATACTTGCCGAAGTCACACATGCCGAGGGCGCTGAAGATGAAGAACCGGTCATACCATTAGCGCTCGTCCATACCCTCCTCAATTACCACTTCGGTGACAAAGACAAGACCCGCATTGCCCAGGATGCAAAAGCAGTCATTGGCAAATACATCGATACCTTTGTACGAGAAGCCATAGCGAGGAGCGCATTCGAGAGGCAAGGAAAAGGCGCGGAAGAAGAAGCAGGAGGGCTGAATGGTAGAGGGGATGACGGCTGGCTCGAGGTGGAAGATCTCGAGAAGATGGCACCCCAGCTTGTGTTGGACTTCTGAGGGCTAGGAAGGATCTTGTATAGCAGCAACGCTCTCCCCAGAACAATCGAACAGGCGGATACATGGTTGTCCTTACAAGAATCCGATCTCTTTTTCAAAAGCTGACGCCTGTGGTGGGCGAGAGCTGGGCCATGTCTTTCAATAGGCACTGGCACCCCCTTGCTGCGTGGGATTGCCGCTCTAGCTTCCTTTCCGGTCATGGTCTTGGAATTATCTACGCAGGATATCCATTTGAACTGATGCCTAGAGTGTGCCAGCATTTGGCTAAAGAGATATGTTCAGAACCAAGAGAGATGGGAGGATTTGATGTCAACACCAGCCAACTCTTCTGCCAGATCACGTAAGGATGATCACAGGCTCAACCGCTCGCAAAGATCACAGTATTCCACGGGAAGATACTTCCCCGAACACACACGAGATTATAGAAACAGATACTGGCCTGCAAATGTCACAACCCACGGACATTTACGTAGTATGCAGCATTGTTACATTTAGCTAGACAGCCAAGGCCATCTGTATAACGTAATCCAAGAGCGGGGCTTAGCGCCGAGATTCCAACTCTAAAACAAATCAAACCCGGCATCAGACTCATACTTCTGACATCTCCAACACTTCTGAAACGTGAGAAACAAGTCGACCTCCTCATCACGACCACATTCCACTCCACTGCTGGTCAAGATGACACTTCTTTGTCGTGATGAGCCTATGGAGAATGCAAGAGATGGCCAGCACCTGAACGTGATGCAAGAATGATCAGGTAATATTTATCTCTGCTGGCTTGTTTTGGTCGTGGACTCCGCCTCTCTCACCGGATGCTAAAGCGCCGTGCCCCGTTGCTGCGACATCTCGTGTCCCAAGGTTCATGATTCCTGCTACAGACTGACAACATCGTACGCATCAACCACTCTGGGCGCTTGCAAATGGCTGGCCAACCTCGAAATTTTGCGAAAATGCTGCCATCAAGTGAAACCTGCCTGGATCCTCCCAGTCTCATGCCGCGCGCATCTTTAAAGACGTGGGACCTCAGTTGCTTTATCTATGTGTTGGTCCTGCCCGCATTGTTTGGGCCGATTTCCTTCCAAAAATCATCTGTCTTCCTCTTTAATAATTCTGTTTTGTCCTTCCTTGCTGTTGTCAATCACTCATTCCATTTATATACTTTTTTGGTTCAACGGCTAGCCCGACCATATCATTTCCAGCGCCGGACGCCCCAGCTATCGTTTGCTTGTACTTTTCACGCATCACTTCCACTCCTTTTCAAGTTGATTCAATCAGCAAATCTAGCATCATGTACACCAAATCTATCCTGATGAGCAGCTTGCTCCTCGCCGCTTGCTCCATGGCCCAAGACACCACAACTGGGTCCAGCAGCCAGATGACCGGGCCCGATGGCAGCATGGTCAGCGTCCAAGTCGTCCAAGTCAGCAACATGAACGCCTCTCTTAAGTTCTATCCAGAAGAGATCAGAGCAGAGGCTGGCTCAATGGTCCAGTTTCAGTTCTACCCAAGGGTAAAGCCTAAGCCTAATACTTTCCATGCAATCCTCTAGCAACGGTACGCTAACACTTCCAATCCTAGAACCACACCGTCACCCAATCCACCTTCGACAGGCCCTGCGAACCAATCAACAATATCATGCCCAATGTAACCGGCATCAACTCCGGTCCCATGCCCCCTGTGAACAACATGATGAAAGTCTTCACCATCATGATTAACGACACCAGGCCCCTCTGGATGTACTGCGCCACCGGGGATCACTGCGAAAAGGGCATGGTCATGGTCATTAACGCCCCTCAGGGAGGAGAGAGGACGCTGCAGTCGTATAAGGCATTGGCGGCTAGAGTTTCAGAGAACGGGACTACGACGTCCACGGGTTCGGCGAACGGCACCGTACCGGGTGGTACAACTGAGCCGTCTACTGGAAGTGCCAGCTCGGTTGTTGACTCTATGGTTGGCGCTACAGGAGTTGCGGCGGCGCTGTTTGCTGGCTTTGCGTTGTTACTATAGGTTACGTGGGGTCTGTAAGGCATTAAAGTGGATTGATGGATGACATTGGATGGTGTTCTACGGTTTCGGATCCTGTACCTTATAATTACCAGGCTGCATATATGGCGCTCGGCAACGCATTTTCGTCACCAGGCACAACGTTGATCTATGTTGGCTCCACTATGACCTACACCCTAGTGATGCTTTGTAATGATCAAGAGTTGCTCCTTGCTTGCATTCCTAATCTGGTGGCAGAAGGTCTATTACGTGGTCAGGGCTATCTCAGCTTCTGTACAATGCAGTACTCGTAGATATGCTGTAAATCTATTGGGAAGCTTGACTTTCTGGGTCTTGACTAATAGGAATAGAGAGCAAAGAAGACTAAAGTCTACCCCCACCCCTCAGCCCGAGAGATCACACCGATCTTGTCAGAGGCGAGGAGCGAGGTTGCTTCTATTTACAGCTCGCAATGTTGTACTGCTCTATTAGACGGCCAGCCTGACCCCTCAACTCAGAAGGGGCAAGACAATCAATTCAGTCAATCCAACAGTTGCCGCTGGTATGTGCAAGAAGCACGATGCCTATAGGTGATGTTGAGCCCTATCGGGGTTGCATACCTATTGACCTTGATTCAGAGGAAAAGTACCGTATCACACCCAACCAAGGACCAGGAGGCATACGCAGAGTAAAAGCCTGCTGCAGAGGATCGCTAGGGTAAAGGCACCGCCCCACAAGTGGGTGATGATCACGGCAAGGTTAGGCTGTCATTTGCTACTTACTATAGCACGTGTAGTAAGTACTGTGACAACGATGCCAAGCTTCAAATTGCCCAGAATGAAAGACAGAACTCTCGCCGTTCATCTAGGATTGGAGCACAGGCGATCAGAGTGCTGCGCCAATGATATGAGAGTTGTTTCACTAACGAGATCGGAGGGGGAAAAGAGGAAAAAATTTCGTGCGTAGCTGAAAAGTGTACAAACGAAGGGGGTTGAATCTCCTGAACAAGTATCTTCATCCAGCCATGAAGACAACCGAAGTGTGGGATGCCTCCATCCATTAACAAATTCATGTCTGCAGCCACAACGAGATATGAGCTAACCGGGTTCCATTGGCTCACCGTGGGAACTTCTACACGACAAGGGCAAAGTTCAGACGGTATAGATACTCCTGATGTGGTAAGCGGAGTAGGAGATTTAACACACGACTGAAGGACTAGTTATTACTTACTACTACTAGTAGTTAGTAGTACGTCAGTAGTGAGTGGATCTTGGCTGGGCTAGGCCAGACAGAGCGTAGGATGAGACTACGAATACAGTACTAGTAATACAGTACTACGTAAGTCAGTGAGGCTGACCTCTTGCGTTGTACCCCCATCACCCCCACCACCCCCCCACCACCCCCACATTAGAAGAGGAGCGAAACGACTAAAGCATCACAATTGAACCCACTGCATTCTCTGCGTACAGGGTAAGTTATGCATCTGCATTTCTCCAAATTGGGGAAAAATAATTCAGAGATACCAACTCGAGGTGGAACTGATTGCTCAAGTCAACACTTTCCTCCTCCTCCGCCTCCTCTCCTCCTCTTCCTCATTCTTCAGTAGACTTACAATACTTGGTCGGGAGCAAGCGCCTTGGTCTCATCCGCAAAGTCATTATTCATTATTTTGTGAACTAACCAGCCAGAATGAGCCGCCCCCATCAGCCTTGTCAGGATGTCAGGAGGGCAGCCTGGCAGCCTGTCAGCCTTGCAGCCTTGCAGCCTTTCTCTCGACTTCTCTCAAAAAGTACTGTGCAGCGAGGCTTCCAGGCTTTTCTGTACCACTTCATGGCATTGGTCTCTAAATACCTGGTCCCTTATTTCCAGCGAATCCCCACCTCCTGAGATCTAAGAAACCACCAACTGTTCCTTCAGCTACTGCCGTCCTTCAGCTACGCCCCGTACCCCGTCGTCTCTGGTAATCTTCCTCGTACGCAGCAAAATGTTCGGTTGTTTTCGTGGCCCCACCGTCCGGATTGAGAAGCATACCAATTCGTGCGGGCCACCCACAAGGAGCTACCAATTCATCCGCTCGTCTTCAACAAAAACCCAGTGCCCGTCTTCTACCGCCCCCACCCCGGCTTCTGTCCGCGTCTGCCGTCCGCCGCCAGAAGTCCAACCGGTGGAAGACAACTTTCACCCTCCTGAGGGGGATGGTGACTATCCTCAGCAATTCAGACGGCACAATGTGACAGGACCGTTCCACCCTCTTCCAATAATTCACCAACACACTCCTCCAATTCACCCACATCCTCCTCCAAGTCAGCAAAACGACCCACCTCAGCCCGGTGGCAACGAACCCATCATAATCGATGACCATCACCAACCCGCTGTAGCTGGTGTCGCCAAACATGACCACCGCGGCCGACGCGTCCTCCGTGTTCATCGCTCGCACCCGCACCGCCGCTCATTGTCGCGTAATACCAGCCGTGCTCGAAGCGGCAGCGGCAAATACTACTCGTCCTACTACGATGGTAGTGGAGGGAGTAGGCTCAGTAGGGATTGGGATGGCAGTGATTCCTGGGGGGGGACGGTGAAGAGTGGATACTGGTCGGATGGGGGTGATTCTTGGGACGGAAATCACGAAACGATCCGGGTTCCAAGAATTGGCAACGGAGGAAGAGATGGGAGGAGGGGATATTACCTTAAATGAGTGGTTGGGTTGATGTTGATGTTGATGGGATATTTATTTGACTGTTCATGTATCAACTCTGTTCTGATCTGATCCATACTGCCAGTGTCACATGCTTGCTACGCTTGGCGTTCATAGATTACTGCCTACTACTTAGTAGTTAGCTTCCGTTGCGTAGTTGCAACTCTTCTTCATCTCTGTACACGAATCAATCAAGCAACTTGTTAGAGCCATTGCACACACACGCTGCTATGCCTCTTCTACCTGGCCCAGACCAGCAGCTCCCAGCTCACTGACACTTGGCTGCATCTGTCTGACCCTTGCATACTAACTAGTCTAATATCTCTGGATATTATGCGGTGTGACGTAGTACTAAGGCTTTCTGGATGGTGATTATTTATCATCTCCTGGTTTGAGGCAAATAGTAAAACTACTTATCACCAGAGCATTCTACCTTCCACAGCACCATTGGATAAAGTGTTTTTCATCACGCTCAGCACGATTCTTGAACAGCAAGATGGCTCCTCGTTCAGTGATCGCTTCCGAGCAAGCGCCATCCAGCCCACTCTTTTCACAGGCCATTGTCTGCAATGGGATGATCTACGTTAGCGGAAATATTGGCTTTGACAACAACGCTGGGAAGCTCGTCCAAGGCAGCGTCGGTGACCGGACGGTACGCAAAATACAATATACGGCTACTTGCTGTCGCAAACCTTTTATCCTCTGATTCAACCTCAACAGCGGCAAGCCTTGACGAACATGAGAGCCGTTCTCGAGGCAGGCGGCAGTTCGCTGCAGAACATCGTCAAGGTACTTTCTCCGGGCGAAGGAGATGATCCACTTTGACAACCTGCATCTTCTAGTGCAACATCTACCTCACAGACATGGCAAACTACGCCGCGGTGAATTCTGTCTGTACGTAGCCACGATCCGAGTCCTCAAGGGCATTTCACGAAGCCTCTCTCTCTAACTCATCACTGCCCGATGCAGATCTGGAGATGATGCCAGAACCCAAGCCAGCAAGGACATGCATTGGTGTTAGAGAGCTACCGATGAGAACCGATGTCAGCTCCCACGCTGGCCTCTCGTTCTAGTTTTTGCTAACCTAGTGCAGGTTGAGATTGAGTGCATTGCTCACTTGTGAGACGTGGAGGGGCTGGCATTCCAGCCTTGCTGAGCTGTCTTATTTAGGAATGTGGCTGGTTGCCCATTGAAGTTGTGATCTTACCGCAGCCCTCAGGGATCGTACAATCACCCTTGGGTGACAGATCTTGATTCGGCAGCAAAGAACAGGTAACTTGATACCAGAACAACCTGGAAGAGGACATTTGAGGACGATGAGTACAATACTTCTTCGTTCCGCGCTGCATTATCTATTTGTCTGCTGGGATTTCCCCATTCCAGTCCACCAATCCGGCTTTGTTACAAATGCTGTGACTCAACATCCGCAAACAACATGATCGTGATACCCGCATGCGGACATCAGAATGACCCGGAACAAAGCTGCTGCTTTCACACTCGCTATTCTATTCATATAGTCCTGTCTTAATATTTTTTCATTGTCTTTATCTCTATCACTTTCACTACCTGTGAAGTTCGCCGCGCTTCCTCCGTCACAGAATATTGCTTGCCTCAGGAAGTCTCCCTCCTTTCTCAAGCTGATCTTCTCCCTCCAGCGGAGGGACTGTCGATATGGCACCGGTAACAAGAAGGAAATCAGCTTCGGCACCAATCAAGAACGATAGCCATGAGGCTAAGACTAAGAAAACCCGAAAAAGCCCTCTATCCCCACTCAAGAGTGCTATCAAACGCCGACCGCAACCACCGGTGAGAACCAGAAGGGTTGCTTTTCAGGCCGAAGATGATGAAAAGACGGTCCGCGCCCATCTTCCAACCACACCGCACCCAATACTTCATCAAATGCAGTCCCCACCCTCGCAAGAGCCCTCCGCCTGGACATCCATTGACTGGAGTAAGAGGAAGGAACAGGAGAAACTCATGAAACGAGCGCAAAGAGTCCTTGGTGCAAGGAATAAGAAGAATGCTAGGCTGCCAACACCGCCCCAGAGTCCTAGCGGCGGCAGGGCAAGTCCTTTTCACGAGCTGGAACGAAATGAGAAAAGCGCAGAGAGCGCGGAGCAATTATTGGCGAGGCTTGACACATCAACTGAAGCAGCAGAGTCGCCTAGAGAGGCTGGCTTTGTAAGACCGACCTCCAGACACGTCGACCTGGTAAGAGACGACATTCCAGGTGAGCTAGAACTGCCAGCCACCATCGACAACATCTTGGTCGAGCCGACCGCCGATATCAAGATGGAGGAGGTATGCACGGCTTTCGACTTCCTGAAGACACAGATTCAACGTCACGCTCGAGAGGTCTACGGTTATCATGCGCCTGCTAAAGATCAGGCTCTGCCCTCTTTGACCCACCTCAAGGTAAAACACCGAGAGCTCTTCCAGTATATCCGATACGTGGCAGATGGTGACCAATATGGCTGGGATAAGCTCATCCAAACCGGTAGCCAGCGCGAAAACCTTGTCTATGCGATTGTCTCTCGCGCCCTCATCTCGTATGTCTTTGATGCTGAGCTGTTTGGGGCCTCCCAGGAACATCACGAGGCACTTCTAGAGATGTGTCGAGAATATCTCCACTATGACGCCTTCGTCCGTAACGGTCATCGCGCAGAGATCATTTCTTCCATCCTCCTCGACGAAGCCAAGAAGGACTCTGACTCCGGCGAGTCCCCGTACGCCTACTTCTCCACCGCCATCATCTCCCTCGAACGCCGCATCAATCTGCTACTCCAGCCTCTTCGGCGGGCCAGATCTGCAGCCTCACCCCAGAGCCCCGAAGCATCACTTCACTCAATCCTCCAAGCCGCCCTAAAGGTCCACCTAGCAATCCGTCTCTCCGGCTCAAACGGCACCGTCTACCGCTTTCAACATCCACACAAACTGCAACCCTGGGACGCCATGAACATGAACTGCATCAACCAACGGAAAACGGACCTGACCGTTCACGACGGCGAAGAACCTCTCGTCAAGATATCCTGTTTTCCAGCCGTCTTCGCCACCGTGCCTAGCGGGCCCAACCTCGAGCATTTCACAGACCCGGACTTCGTGGAAGACTGGAAGAACACTGCGGATCCGGACCAGGAGGACGGGGAGGGGAAACCGCTCATTACGGAGTACCCCATCACGCTGGCGGATGTGGTGCTTGAGAACACGCCCATGACGGATCGCTCGGGGTTCGTCTCCTTGGATCAGACGATGCGGAGGGAGCAGTTGGCAATGTCGGACCAAGCCTTCCTCGAGCTCACTGGGATCAACCGCAAGAAAGTCGCTCGCATCAACAAGATGGCCAAACGTACCAGAAAGGCCATGAAAGGGGTGAGTGTCGGCTTGGCTACCGCGCTGGCCGGTTGGTATCTATACCGATATAAAGAGAATATCGCGCCGGCCTTGGATGGCTTGCTAAAGAAGATCCCAGCGGAATCCTTGCTGGGTGGTATTGCGGCGACGGCGACGGCGACGGCAACAGCAACGGCAACGGCGACGGCAACAACAACGGCAACAACAACGACGTCACCGAAGCCAACGATCACCGTGATCAAACCGACCACCATGACCGTCACGCCGGAGACGGTAGTGAAGGGGGCGGCTGCGGCAAATGTCACTCCTCCCTGAGCATGCTTCGTCCGCGATCAGGCCGCCTGCTTAAGTCTCCACAGCAGAAGCATCGAGCAGACCAAGACTCTCGGTCGCCAGGCCGCAGCCATCAGCACATCCACTCTATACAGCGTTCTCCCAGCCTGCCCACTACCTGATCGCCAGTCTACCAAGCCGGCCACCGTTCTCATCGCCAGCGCACCCCCGCATGCAAACCAGCATCCTCGCATCTGACCTCTTCCATTCTCATATCTCCCCGTGCCAACTGCACCTATCTAGGCCCGCTTCCAGAGTGGACGCGCGAATTTCAACTTCATGGGAGTCGGAACGCTATTCTAGACATCTAAGACCCCATCCCAGATCTTCTGAGCGGGTTGATTAATAGCTGGGCCGTTACCTTGCCCGTACCGCTGCCCGTGCCCGTGCCCGTGCCCGTGCTCGTACCCGTGCTCATGTCATATCACCACTAGCATCACTGGTCACGTTATGCTCCGACTCATCATCGAAAAGTATGTCAGCCATGCTCAGTACCGGAATACTCATCCCCCACCCGGCCATCCAAGGCGCTGCCTCCAGTGTCCTAACCGCTCTCCAGCCTCAGTTCCCGATCGATCAACGAGCCAAAGAGCCCCGGTCACCACTCGTCCCAGCCACTGACCCCTCGCCAAACCAGATATCAACCCCTCCACACCACAACCACCAGTCACTAACTAGTAATGCAGTAGCACCGGCTCAAACCCAAGAATCACATCCCCAAGCCCCTCAGCTACTACTGCAAGCACCTGTCAGCATGACAACGCCATGCCGCCTTTCACACCTCATCCAACAGGTTCCAACAAGTGTTAGGTGGGGTGGTTATCAGGGCATGAACACACTCAGTACTTCAGAGATATTGCACCTCGACGAACATGCCCCGTAGCGACCGCCAGACCGGGAGATGGTTGGTTGTTAGCGACTCGAGCTTGGGAAGTAGTCCAAGCGCACAGCCTTCTTGGAGGTGTTATGGAGTGCTGCTGCTGCTGCTGTTGATCGGATGTCGTGATTGTGGATTGTGGATCGGGTACGCACTAAGTTAATTAAATCAGACGATGGCTATGCTTCCGCTACTGGGAGATCGGGATATTAACAGTGGAAAGGGGTAACTTGGTGGTTGCTGGCTGGTTTGCTGGTTGTCGGTTGGCACTCGTATGGGATGGTGGAAGGGATAGCTCATTCCAACCACAATGACAGGCCCGGTAGGAATGGCGTAAGTAGTAGGACTTGGCTATTTCACATTCAACAGAGAAGCGAATCTACTCTGAAATCCTCCTTGAATCATCCATCCCAAGACGTATCAACTCCAAACGGCTTGCATACCTTACTGTGCCCGGAACCTGTTCTATCGATGTCGCCCATGTAACTGTGCAAAGCTGGATCTTGCAGTCCACAGATTGGGGTTTCACTCTAAGGAGAAGTGTTTGATTGTCTGGCAGATTTGGCCCTGCACACTTCTGAGCTGGAGGGAATTGCAATGCAGCTCGAGTGAACCTGATACGCAGAGAGTGGTACAGCAGGGGACAGCAACCTGACCAGCCGTCGTTGTGAGTGTCCCCTAGGAGACTCCTCGTATAAGATGGGTGCAGAGAACAGATCAAGACCACACCCCGCGTGCACATGCAGAACTCGAGTGTTGGCATGACCCATCAGGGGGGAATGGCCATAAGCTGGGCTATTCTGAAGAGTTTTCTGGGTCCCAAGCATCACCACAAACCTGTCACATCTTGTGTGATTGCCTGCCAGGAGAATTCATACCGCCAATCGACAAGTCGCACCATACACCGGATACTCAGCGCTAAGACGACATCCTCACAACCAATCCCCGTCCAGCTCCTGACCAACAAGCTTCGTCAGCTCCAAGACACTTTTCTTCGATCTCATACTCTGCATCTCCGCTCTAGAAGCCGCCTGCTTGGCTTCCTCGGTGGCTTTCTCGGCATTGCGAGCACCGGTCACCGCTTCCACCATCAGTTCCGCGTACTGAAAGAAATAATTAGCATTACTTGCACAGTAAGAGTCGGCTTTAACCTTACCTGCATCAGTTTGTTCCGCTTAAAAGCATCAGACTCCTCTCTTGCTGTATCTAGGACGCGCATTGCAAGATCGGTGGCCTGGCGGTACTCGTGTGTGTCAAGGACAGGGTTCTGAGAGAGAGTGACTCTGCAGGTCGCGGGTCGCGGGAAGGCGTCCTTGGGAGTTGGAACCATAGTGACTCCGCCATGAGCTCCTTTGTTCGAACCATGTCTGGCCGGCAGTGTTCGAGAGTGATAGTTTGGGTATGGACTGCCGTTGACAGTCACAGTAGCGTGTTTCGCTTGAAGGTCAGAAACCTTGGTCTTTACCGTAGCAGCAGCAGAAGTTTCGAGGGATCGCTTATTGAACAAGCCTTTGATGTTGGAAAGCATGCCCTTCGCGCTCGAAAACTGTGGCCTACTTCCCTCTCGCGCAGCCGGAGTCGATACTTGCGATTGGGCAGGGTCTTTTAGCTCGTGTACTGAGTTGCGCAAGGTTTCAGGGTCGATGGTCATACTCTTTGGAAGCGAAAAGTCTTCCGAGAGACGGCGTGGATGGGCAGACTCAAAGCGATTGGGGAGTCCACGAGTAGAAAAGTAATTAATTTGTGCACGAGACCGAACCGACACGTCGGGTGTATTGTTCCGTGACGAAGTTCGAGGTGGAAACTGAGCACTGTTTTGCACTGGAGAACGAAGGCTGTTCGGCTTTGCAGGCAGCGAGCTCTTCTCTACTGGGACAGAACCAACATCGCCTCTAGTCGATCTATGGCTAGGTTCGAAGTGCTGTTTCTTACTGGCAGGACCCATTGAACCTGCTGCTGCAGACCGGCTTCCTCGGCCGTTGCTGCCTGCAGACATTGACTTCTGGTCGGCAAACGCTGCAATATGGGGACCTTGCGGTTGAGGGGTCCATGAATCTCCTCCCATGTTCGAATATTGCTTGACGGGACGGAGATCAGCTGAACTTTGTGGCAGGGAGGTTAAAGGCCAGTCAAGCCGACCGCTAGGAGTAGGTTTTCGAGCAATCTTATGCGCGCTTGTCTTTCTCTTGTCATCGCATGCTGAGAATGGGTCTTCGGAAATTGAAGAATCGGCTTGAGCAGTGCCACTTTGCGGCTGCGACGACGAGCCACTGAGCTCTTTGGCATTACTTGTCTCAGCAACTTGGACTTTGCGTTCATGACTAGTCAAAGAGCGTGTGGTGGTGCTTCGTGAGAGTGGTACATTACCATTCAACAGCCCTTCAGCTGATTTACGTAGCTCTTTAACGAGTGCTGACCGGCGGAGATCTGGCACGCTATTGTGTTTTCGAGCTGACGCATCATCGTCATCGTACTCCTGTTCAGAACCATGTCCCATGATGATGTTCTCAGCCGAATCTGAGATGCGTAGGATTGGACCATGCTCCGGAGCTGTCGCAGAAAGTCGCTTGACGCGATTGTAGGACTTATTGCTCCCCTCTCTCTGACGAGCAGTACCGGATTGTATATTGTCGACGGACGCGGATTTAGCTGCTGGAAGATTGTCCACCTGATGATTGCCAACGGTGGTCGCAGGACGAGAGTCGACGGTTGTAGGAGGCGCCGATTCCTCCTGTTCCCCTGGAGAAGCGGCGTCGACTACTAAACTCTTCTTTGATCTTCCATTTTCGATACACTGGCCAGTTTTCTTATCTTGATCAGCAAAATTGGAACCCCATAGAACCTGTTTATCTTCTTGATTATCAGGTGCTTCGTCTGTATCCAAGTCGCCGTCAGATTTATGTTCGACTGATAAACGTTTGCTCCTCTTCTCCTTCGGCAGCTTCCTTACCACGATCTCACTTTCACTTTCTGCATCTTGACGTAGTTGAAACTTGTGGCGAGGACGAGGAATGGAGCTTCTTCTACTTCCATCGTGCCTAGATTTGGATGACTGCTTGATAGCGATCAGCGACGGATTGGCCTGCGTTGTGACGTCGGCAACATCAATGGTATGATCAGCAGTATGGACGTTGGCTTGCTCGGTCATTTTGCTTACGCCGCTGGACAGATGATCATGCTTGCCGCGAAGAGATCGTTGCACGTGAACCGAGACTGGCTTGTACGGGGAGGGTGTCCTGCTGGCAGACCTTCGAGGGCTCTTAGAGCTACGGACTGGTCCTGGAGTAGACAGAGGTTTTGGCAATCTTGAAACCCTTAATCTGCCGCCACTTTGGAAGGATGGAGCATGTTGGATAAGAGGGGAAGAGAAATCGACATTGGCGGTTGTTGCGACTCCTGCGGGTGTATATGTGTTCTTCGGGACAGTGTTAGGAGAAGTCAACTCTGGAACAGGTGCATGATCCTTAGCAGGCTTTTCCGCAAGTTTGGGAAATTCCGCCGTAACTGTGCTGTTCAGCTGCTGAATAGAAGTTGCATCCTCATGGCTTCCTTGCCGCAAGATGTGAGGTTCGACACCGGCGATGTCAGGTTGATGTTGAGACTCGACGATGCGCTGATGCTCAACGTGAGAAAACTGAGGGTTTGGTCCAGATCGATTGGCCATTAAACTTTCAGCCTGGGCTGAGGCATCACCGCGAGCCGTCTCTGGAGTAGTGATCGGAGTTGTTCGTCGTGAAGGTGACAAGGTGGGCCATTCTTCTTCTACCTTTTCTCCTGGTGATGGAGATAAGGATCTTCGCAGCGGCTTTTCGCCAGCATCGATCAAAGAACGTCGGACAATAGGCGACCCGGTGCGGATGGTTGCAACAGGAAGGCTGGGCAGCGGCTTGTCAGGGGCAGTTGGCTTTTCCTGGTGAACGCTTTCATGGATGTCCTTGGCAGGCACCATAGGTGAGGTCTCGGAGATTCCATTTTCTTTCTTCTGTGACTGATTAGAGCCTGCATCGTAACAGGTAAGACAACTTACAGCGTTGATAGAATGCATCTCTTCAGACGCTAGGGCAGGAAGGTTCGGAGAACCGCTCCAAGGGCTTTCTGTATCCTGAACGCCATGTTAGCAAGCCGAGGATGGCCACTGCCAGAATATGCATACCTTAGATGCAAGTTTGTTTCTTGCCTTGCCTGCTGCTGACTTCTGCGGCGAAAGGAGCTTGTAGACTCTTCCCTCTTTTTTGGATCGCGGGATTCCGGGGACAATACCCACACGTTTCGCAGCTGAAGTCATCCAAGCCTTGCGCCTGCCAGTACTTGAGACTGTCGGAGGTGTCGAAGCACGGGGCTCAGGCGTAGACACTTGAGCTCGCGAAGCAGCAGTGGGAGTCATGTAACGGGGGTTGACACGCGCAGCTATGTTCTTACGCTGATCGCGCTCTTCTCGAAATGCCAGTGGAGATTGAAAGGAACCACGCTGGTCAGCAGGGCGTTTACTATGCTGCGGGTGATTTGGATCTGCAGAATTATCGAATGATGTGTCCATACCGGCCAAATACGAGAGAAACGGTAGGTTCGAGTATGGCAGCTTGAAAGAATCATCTAAGAAGGATGGGAAACTGAGCCAGGATGATGATTTATCAAGGGCAAGGCTCCGCGTCTGAAGCCCCCTCCAAGGTGGTGATAGATGAAAGGATACTGACTTGAATTTCTAAAAGCAGCATTAGACATAAACAAACCACAGGTCGGCAGGCCAGTAATGCAGATTCAGATACTTCTGGTCACCTGAACACCTCATACACAAGCAATAAGGTTGCGGTGTTTGCCAGAATGAAAAGTCTTTGCAACCGCAAACACATGGAGAAATGTTGTTGCCCAATTACTACACGTCCTCACCTGAAGGCTTTCCTCTGCTTCTTCACCAACGCAGAACAGTTCTAGGGTTTTCCAAGCCTTCTCGATAATGTCATCCTCCCTTGTGAGGCCAAACTCTCTGAGGTACCGGTGCGCGAGTAGTGATAGTCTTTTGTTCCATTGGCTATCCTCCAGTCGCCTCGTTACCTTCACCCGGGCTGTGTTAGGAATACAGTAGCCTTTCGCCCACTTTGAGAATCACGTACTGGCAGCAGGAGATCTAATGGGCTCTCTGGCGGGTCGAGCAGTGCAGGCATTGTCCTTCTCTTGGAGCTGGCAAGCCACGCTTGTGGCGAGGGCATGGGATCATAGGCATGGGAAAGCGCATTGAGGTCTGTCAGAGTACTATAGCGGGAGAAAGGGTCGACGCTGGTAGAGTATGAAGGATGGAGGAGCTGGGCAGTCATACTGGGATCCGAAGAGCTGTATTCATCCCAACTTCAAGCAACGCTCAGCGAGCACATCATGAAGGCTGGTGGACTGGAAGAAGTTGAAAAGAGACGTCGATGCCAAGCTTCTCGGGTGCGTGGTTCACTGCGTATAGGATTAAAGGTGCAGCTGTGGGCAAGAGCGACCAAATCTGAGAGACGTCATGATGCTAGTACTAGTAGTACTGGCTGAAGTTGACACAGATCTCAGGCCAACTCACTGGGTTGGTTTAAGCATCTCAATCTTGGTAACAAGTGCCAGACAGACATGGAGGACTCTACCTGTATTGTGTGCTTCACTCCGCCTCCGCTCCACCAGATCCTCGCTTGCCCTGTTCACCTCCCGGTTGATCTTCCAACTTCCCACTCAAATCACCAATATCTCACTGTTCTCGAAGTCCCCTTGCAGAAAAATAGTGGGTGAGATGATGGGATCATTTCAGCCACTATTCTAGTGGCTTCGCAACGAAGTCGAACCGCGGGTTGTGAAGAGCGTTTGTTGGTTGTCAGCATGGCCATGACCACTGCCGCCCCTGCCTAGGCGTCTCGTCTGCATACAGCTATAACTCGCAAGACTTGTTGAGGGGGGAGCCTAGGGTTGAATGGCTAGACCAAGTTCGTTAAAGTAGCCTAAAAAAGGCTGGTGTAACTATGTAGCTTTGCTCAACCTTCTCCAGTATCCGCAAGAGAGTCCTTCAGATCTGTCATAGGTGCATTACCAGTGCCTGACCACATGCTAGTGACCCCCATGTTCTCGAGACCGTCCTCTTCTGGCCAGGGCTCCATCTCGTTCAGCTCGTCCTCGAGTTCACCATTTTGGTCGTTACTGACAGAGCCAACGGTCTTTTTCTTCCCTGTAGACGTTGTATTTTTCACAATCACGACGTCCCCATTCCAGACGTGGCACATCTTGACCACTTCTCCGCAACGCAAACAGGTCCAGCCTTCTCCCTCCTCAGCCTCCAATTTTGTAGCTATGCAGACAAAGCAGTAAACACATCCACAGGGAACAGTCTGGTAAGGATTCACGATATCGGTAGTGGCTGAACCTGTCATTCCCATGCCATTAGCACCCGCGTTCATGCCCAAGAGTTCTGTCTCCGACGTGTTGACGGGGTTCTGGTCCTGATAGCAGATGGCGCAGGTGCTCTCAGGAAGATGTGCTAGTGGTCCACTCTTCTCTAGCACTGTATCCGCGTCAACGTCATCGCCGGAGGCACGAAGCGCGAGTTTGGTCTTTCTCCATGCGCGACCAAGCCATCTACGCCACCGACTGATGCCTACCAGAGGCAGCAAAAAGAGCAAGAACTCGGTAAATGCATGCCAGACAAGTTGTCTATTGAGATACTCGAAGGAAACCTCCCGACTGACTTGGGTCGAAGGAGGAGTGAGCCGAAGTCGGAGAAGGCGATCAGTGAGAGTCCGATAGCGACCGTTGACCAGAAAGACAAGAAAAGAGAGGAACGCGGCGACAGAGTGAGCTGTAGATAGCCATGAGGTCAGGCGCACAGCAAGCTGCATGGGGTCGGAGGGAGTGGAATAGCCAGCGCCATGATCCAGCAGCCAGCTTTCCCATTTCTCCCAGCCATATCTCCCGAGCACTGTGAGAGCTCCATACAAACTCTTCTGCCAGCGTGATGGCCGGGGTGGAACGAGGCTTTTGCTACGCGCATCCGTGTACCGCAGATTCTGCAACACAGCACCGTACGAGGCATCGTGGTCCCATATTGAAAGCTTGAAAAGAATGGCCCGCAAGGCCAATAATAATTCTTGCGACCAATCATCAGCAAGGTGTGTCCCAAAGTACTTCAATGCTTCCCCCGCTTGGCCTTTGAGCAGGTCAAGAAGCTCTTCATCCAGCAATTCAGCATCAACTTGGCCAACACGGTATGCCGGTCTCGTGCCTTCTCGACCTTGCAAAATCGTCCAGAGCGACTGTAGTGGGCCTGAAGCTCGGCTTATAGGGAGGGGTAGCCTAGAGATTGTGGAAGGGAATGCGTGCGACTGGTGGGCTTGAAGACGAGCGCGTTCAGCTGCTTCTCTAGCAGCGCGCCTCGCAAGCACACGCTCTTGAGCGGCTGCGAAATTGATTGATGCCATTACAGTATCATGCTGCGTCGAGTGAAATGTCTCAGCGGCTTCAGAATTACCTGCTCTGCATGGTCAGACTGTACTCGAGGAATGCAACAGCAGTGGGTATACCTGAATACTACTTACTACTAACTACGTAGTACTTAGTAAATACTAAGTTGGTTAAGTTCAATAGCAAACAACCTCGGCTGAGGCTGTCGGGCTGGCGGCCGCGATGATCAGCCGAACTTGTCCCGGAGCAACCACTGCCACTGACACGCACCGCATGGCCGCGAAGAAGATCGCCTTGACAGTGAAGGAGGACCCGGAAAAAGAAAGAATAACTAGAAGAAGAAGAAAGCACATTGCTGTGGAATGCTCTTGACTTCTGGCTTCCATGGATGCACGCACCAGGCAGCAAGATCATCAAGACCATCAAGACCATCAGAGATAAGGCCCAATGCTTATGCCAACATCACCATGATTTCTTCTAGTACCCATAGGAACGTGATAATCCACATATAGAGCTCCTAGCGACGCATTGCTTGTCCTGTTAGCCACTTGTGATGAGCGCTGAATGCCCACATCTTGAGCATCTTGGTATCTCTTAAATCTTGGAACATCCCCTGGCTGGCAAGATGCCTCATTTCACGGTCGAGGCCGCGGGAGAAGCGAGCCCTATGACTGAGAATCTCGTCTTCAGAACTCTGGAGCGTGCCTCAGGACCGAATGCACAATTCATCCAGACTGCTACCCAACAGCTGTCGAATTGGGAGACCCACGCCGGCTATTACTCTGCCCTCCAAGACGTGTATGCTAATCTCAACTACCACCAGAATATCCGGTTTCAGGCCATCATCCAACTCAAAAATGGTATCGATAAGTATTGGCGCAAAACATCCTCCCATGTCATCAGCAAGCAGGAAAAGCTCAAAATACGCACCAAGGCTGTTGATGCTGGGATACGCGAGCCAGTGCCTCAGCTTGCGCTTCAAAATGCTCTCATGGTTGCTAAGATTGTGAGATATGAGTTTCCTCATGACTGGCCTGACATCATCACGCTTCTCATCCATCACATTCGGCAGCCTCTCCCAAGCTCTCAAAATCTTTCCAACGTCCTCAATCTGACGCTTCAGATCATCAAAGAACTTGCTACCGCTCGACTGCAGCGCTCCCGAACCAGCCTTAGACAAGCAGCGCCGGAACTCTTTCACGTTCTTGGGACTCTCTATGCAGGCCATTCATATCGATGGATACCCTTCATTCAGAACGGACAGGACAGTGGACCCTTCACCACGGACAGCATGGTCGTGAGCTACTGCGCGCTCAAGACTATCAGACGCCTCATCATTGCTGGCTTTGAGCATCCTCATCGAGACAAGGACGTGGAGCAGTTTTGGGTGGTCCTTCAGCAGCAATTAGGGGAATTCTGGTCAATCGCGCAATCCGATCGGATCAAGGAAGGAGAATCGCCCTCCAAGGAAATCGTTATGAAGCATCTCCTGCAGCTCTCGAAGCTACATCTGGAAATGGCGCGAACTCACCCTGCAGCTTTTGCCCTCCTCCCTGGCTGCGTCAATCTCCTTCAGAGCTACTGGAGTCTCGTTAAGACCTTGGGTAAGCAGTGCGTGGACGAAATGTCTACAAATGCTTCGAGGGACTGGAGTGTGCGGGAATCCGGGGAAAGGGTTGATGAGATACCCCCGCTGGAAAGACTAGCATTGAAGGGACTACTTCTGTTTCGAGCCATTCTGAAGCTGGCCTTTAATCCTGTCCAAACTTTCAAGTATCAGCATGCTGAAGACAAAGAAGAACGGAAGCAGTCAGTCGACCTCATTAAATCCGACATCTTGGTTGACTCTTTCGTACTGGAGGTACTGGAGGTTCTGATCACCCAATTCTTCGTGCTTCGACCGTCTGATCTTCGGGAGTGGGAGGAGGAGCCAAGCGAATGGGAGAAGCGAGAAGAGGAGATTACGGAAGCGTGGGAATTTTCTCTTCGGTCATGCTCAGAGAAACTCTTCCTAGACCTCATGATCAACTACAAGGAAGTGCTGGTCCCAAGGTTGCTCGAAGTCTTCTATCGCTACGCATCGCTAGACAACAACGATGTGTTCCTCAAAGACTCCCTGTACACTGCTGTGGGACTGGCAGCTCCAGTCCTGAACGACAAATTCGACTTCAACGACTTTCTCAAATCGACCTTGCTACCTGAATCTCAGCTCTCACGTCCACAATACAACCTCCTCCGTCGTCGAATTGCAATTCTACTTGGGCAGTGGACGCCTGTCATACCGGAGACGATGAACAAGCCGATCGTTTACCAAGTATTTGCGCGGCTACTCGGTGTTGATGAGTTGAACGATCAAGTAGTTCGTGTCACCGCAGGCCGGCAGCTTCGACCTGTCTTGGAGCCCTTCGAATTTGCCTATGATGAGTTCGCGCCTTATGCGACCACAATCTTTCAAAGCCTCATGGTATTAATTCGAGAGACGGAGCTCGTCGACACCAAAATGGCACTTCTAGAGACAGTTCGCGTCGCGGTGCACAAAATGGAGGCTCATGTCGAGCCGTTCTCCAATAGTATCATGGAAATGTTGCCCACACTTTGGCTTGCCAGCGGCGACGAACATCTGATGAAACAAGCCATCCTGACCATGATCACAGCCATCACTACAGCTTTGACCAAGCAGAGTTTGAAGTACCAGTCGGACATCATTCCTCTCATCCGTGACTCGGTCCAGCCAAATTCCGAATCGCTGGTATATCTATTGGAGGAAGCGCTGGACCTCTGGTCGGCGATGATGCAGCAAACGCCGTCCAGCAATCCCGCGCCTTCTGAAGAGCTACTGTCATTGAGCAGTTGCCTACTGCCACTCTTAGACCTAGGTTCTGATTCGCTACGTCTAGGCTTGGACATCGTTGAATCGTATATTTTAATCTCACCAAGGACGATACTCACCCCTCCGTTTCTCGGACCTCTGCTCTCATCACTGAGCTTGTTGATCGGCAGCCAGAACACTGGAATTGGTTCGCCGCGACGGGAGATTCCTCGAATTACTCAATTACTGGAAACACTTATCAAGACGTTGTCGGTACCTCGCCACTTTCCCAACAAAGCAATGCAGCTCCACGCCGCCCAGCACCTCATCTCGAATACCATTGAGACATCCTTCCTTCAATCCTTCCTATCATTACTCAAAGAAGCATACGACTATCACCAGGACCCACGACCCTCCCGACCGACGCCAGCGATCATCGGTCCCACCGAAACGGAGCTCTTCTCGGTCCTTGCACGTTTAGCCCTCATCAGTCCCAATCTCTTCCTCGAAGCAGTCACTGCCGCTGGCGGCGATAGAACAGTCACATGGCTCATCTCAGAATGGATCACGCACTTCGACAACATTGGTGATGTCTACCGCAAGAAACTCCACGCTCTGGCTATCACGAATCTCTTCTCGATCAGCAAACCGCCTCCAGCGTTCATGCTCGAGCAGCTGCAATCCATGCTGAGCATCTGGACCGACATCATCACCGAGCTCGGCGAAGACGCACCTGAAGAGACCAAGCGCGATTATTTATGGCAGCCATGGAATGCCAGCGAGCCATCTGGACCGACGGGTGAATGGGCAGAACAAAATGAGGCGCCGGAGGAGGAACGGAAGAGAGAGGTGGCGAGGGTGGATCCGACGAGTATGATCAACATGCGGGATTGTGTAAGGGAAACGATTGAGGGCGTTATAACTGGGGTTGGCGGGTCGGACACCTTTCGAAACGAGTGGTTGAGCAGGGTGGACGGCGCGGTGGTTAATGCTTTTGCTGCGCTGGGACTGCTTTGAGCACGATGAGGCAGGCCTCTGTGGTAGATCCCATTTTGGTTGGGAAGATGTGTGTACCGGCATTGACGAGTGATGGAATCACCAGACTGAGTGCGGAATGATTCTCCGAGCCATCGGCGGTCGAAGCGAGTTCTTCTCTGGCGGCGGCTCTCTGCCTCTATGCTTACGAATCAAAACGCCCTCCATAGTTAGATAGCCTTCTCTGATAGTGCTGACGCCTGAAATGCCTTGATGACCATGGTGCGCCAGCATGTGCAGATACTGGGCCTCGAAGGGTGTAACCACCTCAACTCCGCCTCACCCATTCGTGCCACACAAGATGATGTGTTGAATCACGCATCCAGCATATCCTCATCCTCGCCTCGCCTCCCACCACCAGCACCGCCTCCTTCATCTCCGAAGACATCCTCCATCGTCGGCTCGGCATCTTCATCTCCGTCGCCCTCGGCCATGCGCATCGCTTCACCGGCGTCAAGTCCTCCCTCTCCTTGCTGTAGTGGTATCTCGACGTCCTCCCCCTCACTATCGCTCAGTGATGAGAGCAGAGGTCCGAGAAACGGAGGGGTGAGTATCGTCCTTGGTGAGATTAAAATATACGATTCAACGATGTCCAAGCCTAGACGTAGCGAATCAGAACCTAGGTCTAAGAGTGGCAGTAGGCAACTGCTCAATGACAGTAGCTCTTCAGAAGGCGCGGGATTGCTGGACGGCGTTTGCTGCATCATCGCCGACCAGAGGTCCAGCGCTTCCTCCTCTTCGTATATTCTCCGCATGCTTTGTATACCCCAGTCCTCTCCGCTTGTCTGCCTCTTGATCCTTCGGCAACGCGACCATAACACGAGATCGTAAGGACGCGGATAGTAGTGAAAGGAGGACAAGAGCTCGGTCAAGTTTGGTGTGCTGATGCCTTTACCGTTATGGCCTAATATGGTTTAGGTTTTTCCCTTTGGCTGCTGCGTACCTAAGTCTCTGTCTGGAGTCTGGAGGAATATATAATAATTATTAGGTAGCTAAAGATACAAGCTCAGTGCCATCAGTGGAAATCGCAGTTATTCCGTCAAATAACAACCATACTAATATGATGAGACAAGCAAATTTAAACCATCCTCCGTACTATGATCATATTTTCAGCTTGATTCGTTGTAGATAGTAAGATTTCATTAGTTACGGACAACTTAGCTACGTATTCTGGTATACGCTAAGAGATCTTACGGTTACGTTACTTTCTAGCTCACTTTGATGGCTCTCCTAGGATTAATTTAAGAGGGCCTCTTCCCGCTAAGTAGTGTACTACGGCTACAGGCCTAATTTTTCTACCCCCCCCTGGTCAAAATATCTTACAAACATGTTTTTTACACGCCCCACCCTGTCAGCATCCCTGTTACTATTTTGCACGAATTTTGCTCATCATGCAAATACTACTCATATCACTCTGTACGCATTCTACTAATTCTGTATAAATATCAATGAGCATGATGATATGACGGCGCTATTAGATGCTTCATAGGATGCTGTATCTTTTGACTATCTCTTAAGAAGCTGCTTTAGTAGTGTAGACACAATGTCAAGCAGTTACAGATGCCAATGGAATGTAAAAACTTGATTTTGGAGACTAGTCCTATCTAGGCCACTTGTCAGGCATCTATACCTAATTCTATATAGTACGTTTTGTACTAATACTAATCTTTTCAGCAGGGGGGGTAGAAAAATTAGGCCTGTAGCCGTAGTACACTACTTAGCGGGAAGAGGCCCTCTTAAATTAATCCTAGGAGAGCCATCAAAGTGAGCTAGAAAGTAACGTAACCGTAAGATCTCTTAGCGTATACCAGAATACGTAGCTAAGTTGTCCGTAACTAATGAAATCTTACTATCTACAACGAATCAAGCTGAAAATATGATCATAGTACGGAGGATGGTTTAAATTTGCTTGTCTCATCATATTAGTATGGTTGTTATTTGACGGAATAACTGCGATTTCCACTGATGGCACTGAGCTTGTATCTTTAGCTACCTAATAATTATTATATATTCCTCCAGACTCCAGACAGAGACTTAGGTACGCAGCAGCCAAAGGGAAAAACCTAAACCATATTAGGCCATAACGGTAAAGGCATCAGCACACCAAACTTGACCGAGCTCTTGTCCTCCTTTCACTACTATCCGCGTCCTTACGATCTCGTGTTATGGTCGCGTTGCCGAAGGATCAAGAGGCAGACGAAAGCGGAGAGGACTGGGGTATACAAAGCATGCGGAGAATATACGAAGAGATGGTTTTCTTGGTGCTAAAGTCTACAGGGAACGACGGGGTGTATAGGCGGGTGGGGCTGTGGGAGAAGTTGCGGACGGCGTTTAGTGATAAGGCGAAGGTGAGGCGAGAGATGGCTAGTATGGAGGGCTGGAGGGAACGGACTGTGACGATTATTTAGTGAGGAGAGGTGTTTTGATTAAGACTAGGAGCTTAGGGAAACAGATGAATATTATGGTCTATTAATGTACCAATATACAAGTAACTCCCTCCCTTAGAGCCTTGTCAGTATGCTGATAGCAAACAACAGTCATGAAGCTGCTGCTGCATGCAAGCTTACCAGGCTGGATGTCAGGCTGCTTTTCATGTCAAGTGAATAGCAAAACGCAGTCTATCGTCGCCTGTTGTCTGAAAACCTGGCGGCAGAGCTACTCCAGACTTGCCAATGAACCATCGCTATATCCCCAAACACGATGCCAGCAAACGGACCATTTCAAACCCCAAAACCCATCTATATACTCAACTGATCCTGCCCCAGTTCAACAACCATGTTAACAAGTCAACTTTTGGACCACTGCGGCCGGTTTCGTTATCCACTCCCCACTGGCGCTGCTCTTGCCTAAATCCCTTTCTTTCACAATAGCCGCGCTTTACCATTGAACAAGTTCAGTGTACTTAACCGCGTATCTATAATCATCTTAATGAACTTCTTTCTTTGTTGTTGCGGCCATAGCGTCCGGTTTCCACGATCAGCGTGTCCGTTTAGGGAACCACTCTGAACTGGTACATTCTTCGAACCAGCACATTCTTTGTATCAGTCCCATTCCTCGAACCTGTCCAGCCAGGCTGTGTAATGCAGGAGCTCGCTAAGAGTTTTCCTGAGAAATTCTTGACAATTCTTTCCAGAGGTTCGAACAAGAGATGAGTGGGAGATTAAATGAATCCTCACAGAATGCTTTTAAGCGCAAGAAAAATTCCACAGTTCAGACTGCCCAAAACATTAGCGGAGCTCTATGCTTGATTATTGGAAGATTACTAAGTCACCAGAGATAGAAGTAGACTAGAAGGATAAGATGTTAAGCAAGAAGAGATCGAGGTCGTTGTGTTATCACCCTTGAGTTTCCGACTCCTCCAACTATTAATTTATATATATGACTAACAGTCGGAATTTTATTTCAAGGTCGCGTGGCCTAATGGTTAAGGCGCTGGTTTTCGGCACCAGTCAGTAATCTTCTCCTCTTTGATCTACTGTCAACTGACTCCAACAAGGAGATTGAGCGTTCGAATCGCTCCGTGATCGATCCAGTTTTTGCTCTAGCAACGTTTTTGCAGCGAACGGTGAAAGATTAATACAAGTGGCATTCACAATGTCGTGGGGTGTGACGTGATTGTGGCCTAATGTGGACAGGTTGCTTGACGTTGAGATTTCTTCTTCTGTCAGGGTTTGGCATATGTATATACCAACAAGCAAGATGGCTTCTTTACAATAGTATTCTACGCGCTGAGGCATGTCCTCGGTGTATCACTTCGCCTGGATACCCCTATTCCCTATGAGACAGGCTCTCGACGCGCGCCTTGGCCTCGCTCACTCATTCCCCTCCTCGACAGCACCACAAGACCTAAAGCGCAGGTTAAAGCAGCCTTCCTCCACCCTCTAGGACGAAACCAGATTTGGCTGAGTAGAAAAATTGTTACGACTAATCTAGGCAGTTACACCGAGTTTTCTGCTGCGGGCCCCGGACGATTGGTGACTAACCTCTGCTGCTCACTTGCTCCCTGAGCCTCACCGTCGGCCCCCACCCCCACTCGCGCCCCATCTGTCTTATCTAACTACTTTAGACGATAGAACTCATCTTGGATCCCGGGGTCCCCCTTTGCGGACCTCCCTTCCCAATATCACCCGAGATTCCAATTGCGGTTGAGATATGCCCATAAGTATTAAAGCCTTGGGCTACGAATGATCTGAAAGAATGAATTCCTCCCCCAGGGGCGCGCGGCTCTCTACGAGATACCACGTACAGTTCTTGTACCTTTATCTTCCCGTGGTCGCGACTCAGTGTTGCCTGCACTCCTCGAGGCAGCAGACGACCGGCGTAAGTGGCAGCAGGTACCAGCAGGCAGAAATCAGTAGTGTAGGTACCTCTAGGCACCTCTAGGCAACGCAGATTTCGTCCATCCCTAACGCATTTCCACCAGCAGCACGCCAAGGCAACGAGCTCTTGACAACAGGGCAGCTTATGAACAATGTCCCCAACTGTCTCACTCTCAGAACATTATATGATCGCTCTGATCGCTTGCTAGTCCTCGCCTTTGCTCGCAGTCATCCACCACTTCCAGAGTCGCTTACGCGATACGCTGCCGTTTGATTTCCGACTTCGTTTTAGGTACGAAGGGAAGATCAGAAATTGACACAAACGGCCGCTTACTGATGTAGTGTATTAGCTGAAGGACGCGCTTTGGTGTCTCCCTGTAACTTCCCCTAGTTCTTCTCAAAGGTCGATGCCCTCGTTCTATAAGTCCAAGGGATCGTTACATCAACGGGACAAATCGTGCTGTACCTGGTCTACCCTCTGATAGACAATTCAAGCAACGAGACCGACGTTCTACATATTTTGGAGGGCCTCCCAATGTCCATCGCGGACTCTTTTCTACGAACCGAGTGTGATTGCCTGTTAGTTTGGTGCTTCCAGTGCAATTGATAGACAGCTTTCGACCGGGTGAGAAAATTTTCCTTCGCAGTCCTTGGGGTCCTGTATGCTGCTTCGCCAGTCTTCACTTATATTTCGAGCAGTATCAATTAACAAGTGCTCTCTCGCGTTCCAGACGAATGGAATAGAGGGTTCCTTCGGAATTGCGCCTCTGGGCTTTCCTTGACACAAGTCTTTGTGGCCCTCCTTCGTCGAGGGACGTCCATTTCACCCAGATGTACTCTGTACGTAGTACAGGGTCTGAACCCGTATAGAAACGCTCAAGTAGCTCATTACTGCGCGCTTCGACCTATCTAGCGAGAAAGTCAGATCTTCCCTTTCTTGGATTCATTTGTTGATTTACTGGACGGAGTAGCTCCTGAAAAAATCACACACAGGCAAACACCTAGTGCCGCCCGAGCGTGGGACACTGTCGCTCATCATTCTTCGAGCCGCTTCCTGCAATTGTTCCCCTTCAAACAAGGTGTTTAGGACCGCTAAATATGGTTGCACCATCCAGTGGCCGCTATCTTTGTAATCTGCAGTCTGATGCCTGAACAGCTTATGCACGCCTTCACGCGCCTATTGCAACAACTTTTCCAGATCATGGAAGATTGTCTCGCCAGTTTGTCTATCAACTGATGAACAGTGCCGAATACAATCCTCAAACAAATGGCGTAATTCAGCTTCAGGTCGATCTCCGGGTTTGGCAAAGCTGGATGAGACAGCAGTCAGGCAGGTTGCACTGCTTACGGTGTCATGTTCCCACTTTCAAACTTGTTGAGGTTTCTATTTCTATGGTTCATCCAACTCTAATGCCAGTAACTCAGTCTTCGCCCGCTCCAGTCATGATTTCCTCTGCGTTCTCTGTTGCTTTTGGTCTTTTTGGGAATTCAACGGGTTTGAAAAACTATCTGATGCGACGCCTGAGAGTTTCTTCTTAATGGCTGGAGTGGGTTCACCAAGGTAGTCGCCTGCCAAATCATCATCTTTCTCAGTGATAGCAGGACCATCAATTTCAAGGGAATCTCGGATTGAATCCTCCAGCGTTAACTGATCGATAGAGTCTCTACTAAGATAGCTTTCTCCCAAGCCATTGGCATCTTCTTCCAGTTCCTCATCTACTTCAACTTCTTCCTCTTCGCTGTCGGTAGCGGAAAAATCATCTAAGCCCTGTGGGGTATCGCGCCAGTAGTTGAAATCGGTGAAGTCCTCCCCGCCTTCCTTCACGAGCAGCGAGACCGGCGGAAAGAAGTGGTCAACCAGCTCGCGCATGCTAACGTAGCTGCTTCTGTACTTATTGAGACTCATCAGATCAAGTGAGACCTCTGCGTTTGAGTTGATGGTGAAGATCCTGGTGGATGGAATATTAACTGTTCGATAACTTAGAGCGTCTGTAAACCGGTTGCCAAAACCAGCATAAAATGGAGTGCTTCGGCCAGGAAAGAGACTGAGGATATCGCGGAGACAAGCCATCTTGAAGACTTCAGGCTTTCGTAAGTAGATCTCACGTCGAAGAGCGGCAATGGTTCTATCAGGGCTCATAATGACTGGCCCTTTTGGCAGCCTGTACCCATCTTGTACCACTCCATTGAGATAGGCTCTAGTTGTATCAGCTTGCCCAACGGAACGACTTGTCAGATAAAATATGTTGTATCCGTTGGTCACGATATCCGTGTAGAGCTTGGCGACTCCGATGTGTGTCCAATCTCGCCCGATCATATTCAGCACGTGGCCCAGTGCATCAGATTTGGTGATTGTCCCATCGATATCTGATATGACAATAGGCACATCATGACTCCAGTAGTACATATACGCTTGACACGTTGCTCGGTTCACTGTAAAGCTCATTGGGTTTTCCCCTGGTTTCAGCTTGAGTTCCTTAAGCTGATCGCTTGTCAGCCTGAGTGTCTTTGCATAGTTTCGGCTCTGTTCCGTGGGACTGGAGACTGGCGCGGGACTTTCTCTGGCTCCTGCTGACTGACTTCGATGATGAAGTTTCGGTGCTTGCGAGTTATTCAAGCTCTGGTCACTATCGCTGTGATATCCTGGGTCTGATGCAGCGTCACTAGTGAGAATTGTTGGGCCAAGACCCTGTGTGGTAGCTCTTCGGTTAGCTGCTTCCTTAGCTTCTTCACTGCTGTAAATCCATAGATTGCCATGCTCATCAGTGCCTATCAGAGAGCCAATATCATAGTTACCCTCCAATTCTTCCGAAAGAATCTTCCGCGCCACCACCTCGGCCCGAAGAGCGTCATCTTCACTAGACTTATATCCAGTCATGTCAAGCATCAAATCTCCACTATCAGTCACCCGCGATCTTATATTGGAGGAGGATAGCTTTTGGGAAAGCGTCATTGCACGATTGAGTGCTTCCCTTGGCTGTAGAGATGGCGGACATGACGGCCTCGGCTCTCTGTCTATCGGCAGCGTGTCCTTGGGTAATGAAGATGGTGCGCTCATCAGGCGCGCCGATTCGAAAGCGCGCAGATGATCTCTTGCAGATATTGAGAGAACCTCTTCCGAAGCTGACCGTTCTAGAGCTGCGGGAGGTAGTAGGCGCGGGTTGGGGAAGGATCTTGAGGTTGATTTCAGACCTTGATGCTCAGGAAATGACCCGTAACTTGCCACTGGTCCTTGCTCTTCAAAGATACTTGGTTCCTCTGTAGTCGCAGAATACAATTCTATGGTCGATGAATGATTCGACCTTGGCTTTTTGTCTTGCTGACTGATATCGAGAAATGTGGGCTCGGGTAGAGCTGTGGGGATGAGCTGCTCCGTGGAACTATTGGGAGGGCTACTTGCAGGAGACACCAGAGGAGAGGTCTGGAGAGACTCTGGAATGTCATCGGTTGTCTCGAATATAAAAAAAGCCTCGCCCCCTTCGCCTAGTTTCATCGAATAGTTTTGCTTCACACCGTTTACTTTGAACTCGACTTTCTTCTCATATGGCCGTAAGAGCGAGAACTTGCCAAAGCGTACATGGAATGGGGAGCACGCCAACGATCCATCTTCCTGCTCAATAACAATAACGTCAATCGCTCCGCTCAAAGTTGCTGGGTTTATGGAGTTCCAGGTCTTTGACACTGAGCCGCTGATGCTCCGAACGTATTGCATGTTAGGAGAAGGAGGCCTAAATTGGTGTCTCAAACAGACAATCAAGAACAAAGACGAAATTGGAGATATATAGTATCTCGTATCTCGTATAGCGTCTCACGCTTAGAATGCAGATCAGATGGTCAGGTTCCCAGCCAGGCACCAACAGAACCAACACACTTTGTCGAAGACGACGTGGCACCAAACTTAGAACTCGCGCAAGAGCTATTTTGCAAAAGCTCACGGCACTCAATAGAACCAGAAGTCTAGAGAAATACAAGTGGTGAGAAGGAAGAAAGTAGCAATGTCCCAAGTAGATGGTAGTACAGAGTACAACGGAATGAGTGATGTGTCTCCGTACCGGCAGCTGTCATGCCACACGCCCAACCTCAATCGCCGAACTTGGACCGGAGGACCTCCGGACCTCAACCGCCACAATGCCAAGCTCCTGTCACCGTTGACTGCCGACAAAAAGCCGGATGGAGTGCGCATCGCATGACAACGTGGGAGATCAGTCGATGAGTTTTGGTCGCGTCGGATGTCTTGAATGGAGTCACTCGCATGGCGACTCGAGCCTCCACTGACTGTCGTTGCCTATCAACCCGTGGTCCCACGAGCTCGTATGGCTCTGCTGCTAATCCTTTCGGTTGGCTGGGCCTTCATATGGTAAGCTGCTGAGATTTTGATCGCTGGGGAAGAGGGACGGGTGAGACGGGTGGACGAAAGCCCGCACAGCCTGCACAGATCTGTCGAAGCTTCTATGTCTATGCCCTCCTGCTGACCGTGCTTCTCTTAGGCTGCTATGGAGGGCATACCAGGTTATACAGACTCCGAACGAGATTCTCGTTGACAAGCTCGGTCTCGATATCCCACCTGCACCAGAGCTCATCCTTGAAGAAATACAGTCTCGGGAAGTACACATTGCTTGGAAACAACCAGAGCTTCCAAACTCGATTCACAAGCACATTGTACAAGTCAATGGCAAGAAGGGTTTGATTCACTACGCCTTCATCGCTATGGGTGCTGATTTGCTTCCCGCAGTTGGAGAGACCAAGCGGCCCGAGATTGCTATTGCTATACTCGATCTAGTGCCTGCGACTCTATACGACATACGTATTTTCACAGTGAGCGCAGCTGGTTTTCAAACACCAAGTCAGCCGCTGTACGTCCGGACTTTACCTTGCCCAAAGAACGAGGTCGAAAATGTGCCCGGAGACATTTTGCCCACCATTCGAGCCTTCTCTACCAAGGTCACGGCGGTGGTACCACCACTCTCAGCTCCAGGCATGTCTCGAGAAATTAGTGGTGGTCAGCTAACTGGACGTCGTCCAACAGCCGGCCGGAAACAATCTACGACAGGTCTTGGAACAGAACAGAGTTGTGCCACTAACGCAGAAGAATCGTCTCGCTCGCTATCAGAAGATGAATGTGAAACTACGTTTGCTCAACTGCAGGAACGCTTTCAGAAGGTGCAGCAGGACAATGAAGCAGCAGAAGCTCAGATACTTCAGGAGGAGAAAGAGTTCGAGGCTGCCATGAAGCAGCTCGAGAGCCGTCGCGATGAGCTCAAGCAAAGCCTGAAAGAACGAGACGAAGTGAGTAGTGACCTAAAGAAGCAAGTACACAAACTGGAAAGTGCAAACCGAACGGCGCAGAGTGAACGGTCCAAAAAGGAGAAACTGTTGCACCAGAGAGAAAACCAACGGAAGAAACGGCGGGATGAGGCCGCCAAGTGGGAGGTTCAAATTGCAACAATGACAGACGAAATTAATGGCATTGAAACACAGAAAGCTGCCCTGGAAAGAAGAACGGCAAGCTCGGTAGCAGAGCTCCAGCAAAATGTCGAAGATGAGCGAAAAGAAATCAGGAGTATTGAAGAAGACAACAACGAGAGAATAGCTCAGATAAAAGCTTTGGAAGAGGAAAGGAAGCGACTCAACCAAGACGAAGAAACAGATGAATCCAGGGAAGGAGACAGATTGGAAAGGGAAAAAGACCGACAGTGGCAGGAGACTCTCTATAAGTTAAATACCACCTACGCAACTCTTGCAAATACTGTTGCTCATGCCAAGATCGAGTTGGAACTCGTGAGAGAAAGGCTTGCATTTTTGCAACGTGCTCGGCACGCCAGCACGAACGCGACCTTTTCTTCAGTACCTCCACTAGACCTGGATGTTGTGCGTCAGGGTGGCAAGCAGCGACGAGCGCGGCAAAGAAGTTCTCTCGTGAGCAACATTTCGCCGCCAATAGGCACCTTCCCTAACCTTGACGCATTCGCGTCACCTGTGCCCTACAATAAGACCTCAAACGTATCTCCAACTTTCTCTCCTGGGACGACTTTTTTCAGCAGCACAAATGGGATGACTCTGATGGGCCCGCCGGACGCTATCGAACCGACCTCGAATGATGTTGAGGCACTGACCGGAGGCGCACCTATGAGTCCGAGGGCCGACTCCTTAATTCCTGCAAATCTTCTTGGAGATGAATCTGCAGATGAGCTACCTTCGGAAGATGTCAATGTGCCAACTCGGTCATCGAGCGCTGAAGGAGCTAGCCTTCGTGTCAATAGCAGTGGACAGTACACGCTCGCGAACGAGAGCCAGACCCAAGAAAAGGCGTCGCCGAAATCTTCTTCAAGCCGCTCTGCCAGCATTTTTACCAGTCCGCGTGAAAGCCTCAATAATCTTGCTGATGTTGATCGCAGATCGCTACATTCCGGACAAGTCTCGGTTCATAACACAGGAACCTCCGTAGGAGGTCTAAGCGGTTCACGAAACTTCGTGTCTGGAATTTTCGGTTTCAATCGCCAGCGGGGAAAGACAATTGCTGATGAACCGCCGATGCTTGGTGCATTGAAGATGGGCGAGAGTCAATCATTCCCTCGAAATTTCGGGGACGGCCTCGATCCGTTGGCGCGGAGAAGACGGCTCAGTTATGGGGGTAATTGGGCTGCTCCGGTGACCAATTTATTCCCGCGAAATGGCCCAGGAAGCGATGACAAGGAGAGCGGTCCAGCAAGGTTGTCATCAAGCCGAAGGGGATTCCCCAACCTTTTTTCATCTACCAAGCTCAACCCACCCACCTTACCAGGGGTTGGTAAGCCATCTGCGTCGTCTAGTGGCTATGACCAATTTGGTCCACGTAACGACTCTACCGAGTTTAGCACAAGCGTGAACGTGCGAGGTGATGCTTCATCTTCGCGGCCATCTTCAGTATACTCTTTCGAACGGCTACCGCGACCTTCGACGGATAGTCAGCCATTTGGCTGGGGTGCACTCGAGAGATCCAATCTTCGTGGTAGCCCTCTAGGACCGGATTGGTTAACATCTCACACGTGGTCGCGAACACATTCGCGTCGTCCATCCTTCTCGTACGGATCTACGGGCAATCTTTCAATGCAGTCACCACGAGAGGAGGACGTTTATGAGGAACCTAAAGGCCCGAGTAGACCTCTGCAGGACCCCATTGGAACGCGGCCCAAGTCTTCCCAGCGGCCCGTTACGCCAAAGCTAAATCCAGCAGCTCCATCCTTCACGACGTTGTTTGCAAGGAACAAGGACAAGTCCAAGGAGAAAGCCAAGTCTAAAGACATCGAAGCTCTGAAGCAAGGTGACCACGATCTACAACACGAGGATGCCTCTCCGCCAGAGTCGCGGAAGTCGAAGGACTCGAGGTCCATCGTAACGGCTGGCTCCATTGCGGATTCTCGTGAATCACTTGAGCGAACGACATCAGGCACACCTTCAGATACTACACCTTCAAAAGAGACGCTCATCCAGAAGATTACTCGCAAATCAAGCTCCAATAAGTTCAACTCGTGGAAAGAGAAGGGTGGGCTATTCTCACGTAAAGGTGAGCCATCAACGCCAGGTGAGATAGACGAAGATGTTTCTAGTGATGCTCAGCTTGGGCGAAGTTTGGAAAGTACCTCTACCAACCCGTCTGGTGAGAAGGAAAAGGAGAAGGGCAGTCGGTCTAGCCTGAGCTGGAACTTCATGAGAAAATCGAAAAAGGGGGAGAAGTCTGACTTGGCGGCCAGTGAAGTTAGCGAACTGAGTGAGAGGGCTAGTGAGACTGGAGATGAGGATGTTCATGAGTGTCAGTCTGCGATTGGGTAGCTGCAGAATAGACCGTCATGACAAAGGCGAACCTGTATGTGCCTCTGCAAGGGGGCTGCTTAACGCCCTGCCTCGTGTAATGTGTACTACGTAGTGTCACATTGCTCTATTGGTGATAACAGTACCCCTTCAGCTTTCCGTAAACTGAGCGACGATGAGTCACTACTGTTTCTTCTCGAGGTTCAGTAGTCTACACTTTCTTAATCCTAAAAATACCCATTGACGAAGAATATCAGACATGGCTAACTCGAAGTAAATGATTTGCCTGGTGGTCATACTCGAGTAGAGTCTGACATTCCTACAGATACGAATACGTGAGGTCATTTGAGCAATCAGATACCCTGCTTCCTAATACATGGATAGTGGTTCGGATTGATGGGAGAGGTTTTCATTCGTATGTGCTTCACTCTCTTCATGCTTCCTACCATACTCTACGCTGTGCGATGCTGTGGTGTGCGAGTCCTCTGTCTTGTGTTTCCACCCTCACATATGCATCTTCTTCAAGCGGGTCTTCCACACTCGTCAACTGAATAGAGTGGCTGCTGTCATGTCATATAAACAGTATCCTAATATATTGTATCCACAAGTTTCTCGAACCGCTATAATTTCACAAAGCCAAATGATATCCGAGCTCTAAATCTCATGAACGCGGCTGCTTCTGCCGTGGTGAAAGAGATACCAGATCTCTGTATAGCTTACGGAGTCAGCGATGAATACAGGTAACATCATATCCGTTCCTGAGCACCCCTTCCTCCTGCCCATGTTCTCATGCACGGCCGGTATTGAATATTGTATCCAGTTTCATCTTCCACAAGACCACCACCCTCTTCGATCGCCGCTCATCGAAACTCCTCTCCACCATCGTCTCAACCTTCACCGCCTTCTACATCCACCTCTGGGGCGTCCACTTCCCTCCTAACATAGCGCTGCAGCCACCTCACCTCCCCACCTTCGACGCCCGCGCCATCTGCTATCCCACCCTAGCCAATCTTCGTGACTACCTCTCCTGGCGTCAGGTAGACTGCCATATCAACAATCTGTACAACACGACGTTCTGGGCGATGAGGCAGAAGGGCGGGATGGGGCCAAGGGAGGTGGAGGAGGAGCTGAAGGGTACGTTGGCGAGTGATAAGAATGAGATTCTTTGGGGAAGGTTTGGGATTAATTATAATGATGAGAAGGAGATATTTAAGAAGGGGAGTGTTGTCTTTTGCCAGGTAAGCACCGCGTGCGAGACTGTTTGCAGTTGAAGCAGTGGTTGTTAGGCGCTGCTGACAACTGGTATTAGTATGAGCTTGAAGAACCAGCAGAGGGGAGAGCAGATACGCTTGCACTAGAAGAGGATGGAGCATCAACGGCAGTTCCGGATACCGAGCCAAGTAAGACGCAGAAAGAGAGGGCGAAGAAAGTCCGGGCAAAGGCGAGCGTCGTGGTCAGACACATCGACATTATCAAGGATGACTTCTGGGAAAGGAGACCATGGATATCGAGTGGTAAACCTGGGAAGCCGCTTGCAGTCGAAGACCAATAATAGAGCATAGAAATGGGGATCTTTGCATTTCGTCGATTTCTAGGCGAATGCTTTCTGCCAGGATAGATTTCCTAAAGTATTACCGCCTTTCTAATTCCGTCTCCTGCTGTATCATCAATAAGGTTCCTCGCTCTTCTTGACCTCATAATCATGCATCATACTACAAAAATTTCGTTGAATATATCTTTATCAAGATGCCGCCTGCGCCTTGGCCAGCCGTTTTTGCTCCTTTCGTCTCTTCCGCTCCGCTCTGCGTAAAGCTTCGTCTCCTGATGCTGAGCTGTCTGCATGAACTCTGGCTATTTGAGCGCCTTCGATGGGATCCGATGGAAAAGTCTTTTTGTTGATAGAGCTCAGCCTTGCCATGACTTTCGCTGCTTTTCTTCCCTGCGTTCTCTGCTCCTTCTTGGCCATATCGAGTGGTACTTCGGTTCCTTGAAGTCTAGCCTCTTTCCTTCTCTGACGCCTTTCTTTCTTGATTTCTTCCACGTCTACCTTGTCTAGTCCCTGAGAGGCAACAGGCCCATTGCCGTCCTCAATCTTTGGAGTACATTGCTGCTTTCGTTCCGATCCCGCTTTGAAGAAGTTCCCCACCTGCTCGAATTCCCGTATAGGGCTTGTCTTGACCCTTCTCATACCCTGCTTACGATCCTTATCCCTGACATCCAGGAACTGGCTGATCTGTTGGAAATCTGTAGTGGCTTCACTTTTCGATGCGAAGGTCTTAATAGAAACGGTACTCCCAGGTGTATGATTTGCACTGCTTGTCGATGTGTCCTCTTCCTGGTCGAGTGCGTCACTCTTCCTCTTCCGTCCCCTCCCTTGGCCTTTTGCGCTCTCTTGTATTGTGCCCTCCATCTGCTGTCCTTTGACAAAGAATCCATAGAGGCCATTGTGCTTGCCTCGATAGCTGCTCGTATTCCCTGTACCTGGCGTAGTAGCTCCACTCGTAGCCTCACTATTGCTGTTCTTTCCAATATTGCTCAACGCATTCTCAAAGCCCTTCAGCCACCACTCGTTCCCAGCGGCAGGCTCATATGCCTTCTTACCAATGCCGAAGCTGTTGTTTTTTTGTGACACAAGCAACGGTTTAACGAGACCGCGACCAGTATGGTTATTCTGGGATGGGTCATATGCTAGGCCACGCCGGCCTTTGTGTTGTAAAGATGGACGACTGTCGAGGGAGTGGCCTGGGCCTGCCCATCCAAGGGAGAGTAGGTGAGCATGTGCGTCCATGAAAAGCAGAGCAGGGAAGAGGATAGGGATATTATAACCCTATGGCAATCATGTCTACATAGGATCGTGATGGAGGAATAGAATAATTTAAACACGAAATAATGCTTGAGCGATCATCAGCTCCCCGTTGAGATGAATTGAACGAAGTTTGTTTACACCATCACTTTCAGGCCTGCCGCAAAATAATGTGTAGAACCCAAAAATACAGTTTGCGCTTATTTTGCTACGTGTGTCACCAGCGTTTTGTTACAGATTTGATACGCGTTTTGCGTCAGCCACACGTGTGTTTTTGGTATCTGCGTTTCGCGCTATTTCGCTTGATATAGCAACTTTGTATGTATAAGTACGCGCTGCTTTCGCACTGAATTAGATAGAACAACTTGCTATTTACACACTATCCATTGATTAGTCAGCACAGTTCATCATAATGCTACGCTGAACAAAATCCCTGTGATTCGACCGAAGAATAGCCGTTAGGATAAGTGACAATATTCTTGCTGTTGGTAAGAAGGTTAACCGATTAGTCCTTGAGGCTATGTCTCTGCGATTCGCCAATCTACTAATGGTGTTCTCATTTCTCAATTTTGGGTTTCGTCTTGCTCTCTGCTGAATGCTCCTCCAAGGATCACCTGAGAGCACAGCAAACCTTTATTATTCCGCGACAATGGTCTTGTCCAAGCCTGATAACCAGTTACTTTTCTGTTGTCATTTTCTCAGTCTTCATCGAGGCTTCTGCCACGAATAGCTCCGCTATATCCCAGGCAGAGCACCTAACTGCGGCATCTCTGTCTTCTAAGACATCTGGCCATAATCCACCCATTATGAGTGATGTCACTAATCAGGCCTACAAAAGATTCGTGGAGCTCACCTCCAACACGAGGCTTCCATATTGGGGGGATAGGCAGCTTGGCTTCCTGATCCGTATGACCCATACTCAGGAAGCAAATAGGCAGGCTGAAGAGTCTCAAGAACGTGGACCAGCACACATGTGTGGTCCTTGTGGATGTAAGCCACGATAGGACGCTTTTGATCACTCTTTACTCGGGCGCGATCCCTCGGTAGCCGGTCGGTTGGTCAATAGAAATCGCTGCCAGGGATGTGAAAAATTTCATACAATCTCGAGTGCCCAAGGCCGGAAGCGCTTCTATTATGCACCAAGGATAATTTACGAAGGCTCATTCACCAAGTGTGAAGCATGTTCCTGGTTGATATTGGCAGTACTATACTACCGCAGGCTACTAAGTAGTACTAGTAGTACTAGTACTTGCAAATGGATGGGGGCTGCTCCAACCCAGAATACGAACATGTCAACCTGCTGTACTACGTACAGTTGTTCGATAGTTAGGGGGGTAGAGAGCGTAGATCTATGTACAATTGGCTGTGCCGTACAGCGAAATTGCAGTAAAAATTGACCACAGGCGAAACGCAGGGATTACGCGTATGAAACTTGGCTAATAGGCCCTCTCAGAAGTTCAACAGAACGTTACTGGTAGATATCTGTTGACCTTCTGAGAGGGCTAATTGGTCTACGCACTCTGCACAGCAGGTTGACAATATCTCTACTAGTAACACAGAGAAAAAATCTACCACACCCAATACCTAGCAAGACGCAGCTCTCTACGTTGCGTTCTGATTCTGCCTGCTCAACTCAATGCCACAGAGTGATTGATCCATATCACATGGGGGATTGGAACTGGAGTGGCCGCGTTTGCAGCTTTCCCGTTTATAAATGTCCGCCAAGCTTAATGCTTTGTACCTTACTAAGTAGTGCATAAGAACCATGGATGACGTAAACGTATTAAATCGAGCTCGAGGCTATATATATGATACGCTTCAGGCGATCGACAATGGGAATGGTGCACAGCATAAACTTGGGAGCAAACGAAATGGTGCATCGAATTACCATGTCAAGCCTGATAAGATCGGTATGGGTTGCTGCGAGGGAATACGCATAGTTAATAATCCTGGTTAGGGCCGAAGCGTGCCTCTGAATTATTATAGAATGGTCAAGCTTTCATCAAGCACTTTTAGCTGCATCTTAGCTGATCAAGCACCCACTGCAATTGCTGGGGCCGTGGGTGGCCATGCCTATGCCGACGTGATCAATACCTGCACGAACAACATTTACACGTCACCAACGCAAATCCATTAGGAAGTCATCATGCAATGTAGTACACCTTGCTGTGAATGTCCTTAAAGTGACTATTGCCAGTACTTTCGAATTACCTTGCACTCTTTTCCCTTGACTTTTCTCACCGCACGTAAATTCGGCAAGCTCTAGCAACTCCACACCTCTACCACATCTCAATATGGTTCATCTTGCCAAGATCAAAAATGACAGCGAAGTTGGAAAGCCACCTGCAAAGGAATTTTCAGAGCTTTCGCTCGAGGCACCAGGCGACGACGATTTCTCCACGTCTGTGTACGGGTCGAAATTTGCCGCCGAAGACCTTCCCTCGCATGAGATGCCAGAGAAGGAAATGCCAAAAGAAGTTGCTTACAGAATGATCAAAGATGATTTGAGCTTGGATGGTAATCCGATGCTAAAGTACATTATATCGTGGCTCTAGACAACGACTAGACTGACACTCTTCATAGTCTGGCTAGCTTCGTCACGACATACATGGTCCGTAAATTCATCTAGGTTGAGCCAACATCACTGACAGATACGCTAGGAAGACGAAGCGGAGAAGTTGATGACGGAAGCTTTCTCGAAGAACTTCATAGACTACGAGGAATATCCGCAAACTGCTGAAATCCAGAACCGCTGCATCAATATGATCGCCCGCTTGTTCAATGCTCGTTAGTACATCTGAGCCTGGATTCAATAGGCATGTATGATGACAGGTTCTAGCAACGCACGATGACAGTGAGCACGCCATAGGCACATCTACTGTAGGCTCGTCAGAGGCTATCATGCTTGGTACTTTGGCTATGAAGAAGCGCTGGCAAAACAAGCGTAAGGCTAAAGGCGAGGATTGGCACCACCCAAACATCGTCATGAACGCTGCTGTACAAGTCTGCTGGGAGAAGGCTGCCAGATACTTCGACATCGAGGAAAAATATGTCTTCTGTACGGAAGACCGCTATGTGATGGATCCAGAAGAGGCTGTCAAGCTGATCGATGAAAATACTATCGGAATATGTGCACTGCTTGGTAGTACTTATACTGGTGAGTATGAAGATGTAAAGAGACTGAATGACCTTCTTGTGGAGAAGAACATTGACTGCCCCATTCATGTCGATGCAGCATCTGGCGGCTTTGTGGCTCCCTTCGTCGACCCGGACTTGCAATGGGATTTCCGTCTTGAGAAGGTGGTGAGCATCAATGTGAGCGGGCACAAGTACGGGCTTGGTAAGAGATCCGCGACTTGATCTTAAATGTTCACTAATCGACTATAGTATATCCCGGGGTCGGTTGGGCTATATGGCGCTCGGCTGAGTTCCTCCCCACCGAACTTGTCTTCAATATCAACTACCTTGGAGCTGACCAAGCCTCCTTCACTCTCAATTTCTCAAAGGGTGCAAGTCAAGTTATCGGCCAGTACTACCAAATGATCAGACTTGGCAAGCGAGGATATCGAAGTATCATGCTGAATCTGACTCGAACTGCTGACTATCTCTCGGCACAGCTGAAGAGCCTGGGTTTCATCATCATGTCTAAAGGTGCAGGGAAAGGATTGCCAGTGGTCGCCTTCCGACTAAGCCAAACCAACGAGGACGTATTTTATGATGAGTTTACCATTGCGCATCAATTGCGCGAACGAGGCTGGATAGTTCCCGCGTACACCATGGCGCCACACAGCGAGAAGTTGAAGCTCATGAGGATTGTGGTTCGAGAAGACTTCTCCAGAAACAGGTGCGACAGTTTGGTGGCAGATATCAAACAGGCTCTGAAGACTCTGGAGGAGATGGATAAAAAGACAATGGAGATTTACGAGAAGTAAGTGCCTTCTATGTCTCTCCTGCTTTTACCGAATATTGACCATTTCGCAGTCACGTCAAGAAGAATACCAGTACTGTTGGCAAAGCGACTCACAACCATCCAAAGTATAGGCGCGAGAAACATTCCCTGCAAGGCAAACATGGCAAGACACATGCTGTGTGCTAGTCAAGGCTGACAGATGCCGAATCCGGTACCTCCACTTGAGTATTGACAAACGAGTGCCGGATAGCCTAGCGATCGGTTCTGGGCAAGTTGGAACGGCTGCAGAAGGACGAGCTTGTGGGATAACGGAAATGACTGTGCTGGAATTGAAGGATAGCTATCTCCCCATTTACGTGGGTCTCAAGGTCCGCTCTCCGTCTGAAGAACATGGTCAACCTTGTGGCGCTTGACGATTATAATACAATACGAAACTAGCTGCGACAGCTGCAAGGCACAGATTGCCCAGTATCTCTCTGATCATGCTTCCTTTACGACTCATAACTGTGATGTCACTCACGTCGTCACACCTCCGCTACACTCCGCCAAAAGCCCCTCAAGCGGAAGTACTTGGGGTTGTGAAAGCATTTGACCCATAAGACCAGAAGGAGCAATCTGACGGCAGAAGTGATCTAATTATGTTCTAGTTGGCCATATGTTACTCCAGACCCATCTCCTTCCAACACTTGCCATATTGCACAGACTAATCTACACGCTCATCTGACCTGACCGGGCTGAACTCCAACCCAAGGACTCCAGTGGGACTTTTAGTATGCCTTTGAGAAGCCGGAAGATCAAGTCCTCCACATTTTTTTACGGCCTAGGTGGTGCACTCATTGCGGCAGAAACCTCTGTCCAGATCACACGCCCCACTTTGCAACGCCTTTTGTATCCAGCCGGGCATGCTTCCGATCCAGATCAAAGGTGATGCCATTGGATCCAAAAGCCACCGTGGCATCGATCGGCGTCTGTCTATAACCTCTTTCACTGACAAGGTAGGAGGAACCATGGGCCAGGATAGGTGGTTACTCCTTGAGGTTTTGCTGATTGTCCGGACCTATTGGTGCTGTTAGCATTTCTTTGCAGGTCGGGAATGCACCCTCTCTACCCTACTAAAAGGCTGGTCCTGAGGGCGAGACGTTGATCTACATTAACACGTTAGCGCTTCATCAACCTTGTCATTTGGTTGTGCCAATACTAAGCATAGTGTGTGACAATCTGCAGGAGATACGGAGAAAGCAAGTTGTTCTATCTAGCTAGGGAGGGGGAAGCGTGCGCAAATATACGTACAAATCGGCTGTACGGCACAGCGAAATTGCAGGAGAAATAGACCAATCAAACACAGGCAAAACGCAGGGGCTTCGCGTGGAATTCCAGCCAATGAGCGCTCATATAGTTGACAAAAACCATGGTCGAAGCATGAACGTGGATCCGCTGTCTTCGGCCTCGGAATCAAGATGCGTCTTACCAACGCTTCCACTGAATGGCGGGAGAGTACCCCGTAATTCCATATCAGCATGCGAGTTGCTGTTGGCAATGGCAGCACACCTTGATATCTATCGATTCAAAGTATGACAGTAAACGTGAAGGGTCGCTAGACGAATGCTGCTTGGAGCACTATTTGACACCTTCAGACTCTAACCTAACTCTACCGGAAGACCGTGGTGTCTCCCCTCTCTTCGCAGCAACGAAGACAGCGACATGCCTCCACGCATGGTTCCATGAATGTCCCTCTAGCTGCTGATCTCTTGATAAGCCGCGGGTCAGCACCGTCATAGAGGTTTGGCTGGCAGACATGGCATTTGCAACCATGCACATGACGGTAGCGATCAGGTCCAGGACCTCGAGCGAAAGAGGTACTGGCCTGTTGTACTTGTCGTTGTCGAGGAGTCGAAGTCATAGATCCATCAGATGGCGAATGGCTCGGAGGGAGAAAATCATCCCGTCGATATGACAATGTAGAAGAGGCCGCAGATCTCGACGAACTGGAAGTCGAACATCTTGGGGAATCTGACACCCGTGACCGTGGAGAACCAGAAGATGCATATCGAGGAGTATGTGCAAAACCTTGAGCATACACGGCTGGCGAAGTCTGTTGGCGACGCAGTCCTGTTCCAGGAGGTGGAGCCCCGGGTCGGGTTGAGGGAGCTACTCGTTCATCCCCCTCTCTGCTAGCGAGCTTGCCATAGTAAGGGCCCATTCTCGAAGATGCAAAGATCGAACGAACCTGCGATAATTCTTGAGCGAATTTGTCGCTAAGCATCACTTATTGAATGAAGACTTTGCATCAAGAAAGCATATGTCTGAGAAGATTCTAGTATGCTGGCTCAATACAGAGACGGGTTGAAACAAGCTTGATACGTCCAAACGAAAATAGAAATCCCTGTTGCCACAGTACATGCTCCGGGACCGTCTGAAGGTGTAGGACCCCAAGCATACATTTTCCTCACCATACTACCACACTCGTAAGCGGGCTAATTACCCAGAAAGTCTTTTCTCCTTCAATGCTAGGCACTTTACACAGAAACTGAGAAGGACATTCCTCGTTCGTGTATGCTGGGTCGCGGCGACATGCTGATCGAGATTTCTACCAATGTGATACGCTTTATGTCGCAACCTCACGGTTCCTGGATCATGCTGCGCTCTAGAACAAGATTCAAGCACGATTTCGAAGCCGCACATCTGGAGCATGCATTCGTATCAAACATCTAGTCGCCCGGTTCCGTAAAAAGGATGCAGGAGCACAGTCAAGAGAAGATGTCTTCTGCTCGGGTGCCATGAAAATCCTTGCAAGGATATGTTTCCATCATCTAACCAGTGACGGTTCTTGCCGCATGCTTAACTGCTGCCTACTCATATGGCACGTCTTTAACATTTCTGGTAACAAGCACCTTGATGCTCAGTCAAACGTGAAGTTGGCTTGGAGAATATGGCAGACCCGCCCAGTCTCTGCTGGATGAAGATGTCTGGCGATTCGAGTCATACCAGTCAGGACCAATAAAGATAGCCTGACATCAAATAGTCCCTGCGCTGAATCAATCTCTGACGATATTGGCGAAAACCTCAACACTTAACAATAAAGTCGTTTTCAAGCTTGGTGCAGTCGTCTGATGCTGACGTTAATGCGACTAAAGGCAAAGGTTGGAAAGACAAAGAAACATTTCCTTAGGAAACCTGAGATAGATATAGAGAAGCATTTAGACATGAATGGATCATGCTCATCAGCAACGCGATGCCTCTTGCCCATAAGCAGCACAACATGTTTTCCGTGTACACTCACTATTCCATTAGCTTCGGCTACAGCACAGCTACCACTTGGCGGCCACCAATTCGCGATTATGGAGGGGCTACAATGAGGTGAGATTCAGGGGTCTCTTGATAGTCTGCGACTTGTCGCTATCCAATGAGCTGTTAACAGAATTTCCTAGCAGCCTGAAAGCTCGAATGTGGCGCACGTCATGCATTGGTTTCCATCTCGTTCAAGCTTTTCCACGTCTCTTCAGCGAATATTGTGTAACCGTCCCCCGTCGAGGTGAACATGGTCGACCAGATAATTGGGATTGATGACGACGGGTGGAGATATGTAATGAACTGTCGAAGGACACAACGTAAGAAACAACCATACATACCAGACCTAAAGCTGAGAGCAAGAGCGTTGAACACCTTAAAGTTGCTAAGTGGCTGAGGTCACTCACCCAATTTCTGACCACTCATAGCATTGTAATCTCGGACGAGCCGCTGCAGACTGGCGATGCTCTGATCAATACCCTTAGATCAACGTCCTTCCGAGGCATCGAGCCTGTTACCAGAACTTTTACAGCAGATGCAGCTCGATGCACTGTTTCTAGCACCAAAGCATATTGCGCCTCAGCATGCAATGCACGCTTGGGTTCTAGATCATTGGTTCCCAATCTTAGGATAGCAAATTTGACCCCATATGATCGGAGATCCCAAAACAAACCCTTTGTATCCTGTCGGTAGAGGAAGTTTTGAATTCGATCTCCACCTAATCCTGCATTTAAAATGTGCGGAAATTGGCCTTGCCCAAGCATAGTATGTGTGCCAGAGGTTTGGAGTCGTTCGTGCACGGAATCGCCGAGGAGAAGGCACCAGATTGGAGGAGGCGGTAGCTCAGACAGTAATGGTTCGTGTGCAGAAGTGTGTGTTTGGTCAGAACGCTGCTTGTATCTTGCTGCAGACCGGAGGAGGGTCATCAATTCAGGGTCAGACAGATTAGTGTGAAGTTCAAGTGACCAGGTGGACATCACGATGGATGTTAATAGAAAGGTTGAGGCTGCTCATAAACAGGGGGATAGATGGTTTTATTTGCATTAAGAATCTCTAGTACAAGCAAAGAACGAACATAAAATGTGCTTAGATCAGTCACTGGGTACGGTTGCCGAATTCAGCCCGGAGACCATGCAGATGGCAAGATACTCTCACCTATAGGGCTATGGCTCAGAGAGCAGCTCCTCGAATTGTCTCACGGCTGGCTTCGGCGTCTAACAAATTGCTGCGATCAGTTTTGTGCTCAAGCTCAGATCGACTCGAGAAATCATGTCTTACCACAGTCATGCAACCAGCTTGCACTGGTGAGTGCTTTACAGTTGAATCACAACCTAAGGAGTGGGACAGGAAATGAAGGCTGGGATTGAAATGTTTTAGCTGGCTGTTTTCTTGTCACAGATGTACTACTAACTAGTACATAGCGTAACCGATTGACTCATGCACTATACTCACAGGCGCAGCACTATTACGGAGTAGAATCCCTGGAGAAGGTCCAGAAGCCTTAATCAAGTTAGGATTACAGATTCGAGCGTGAAAAGTAGTGGACTCCTGGGATGGTGTAGCGCTTTAGTGTTTCTTAGCTTGAGTATAGCCTGACCCAGCAACTAATAGTATGAATACGTAGTAAGGAGCAAGCATCTGATTATGTCTAGATTAACTAGTCATTAGGTGGGGTTTATGCTTTATAGTCACCTACAATACTACTATACGTAAGACGTAAACCTATCTCACAAGCCTTATTGTCCTTAATCTTAAGCACTGAATGTCTATTAAGTCTTAGGTCGCCAGTGAGGCTAATTCTCCTTTAAGCTCAAGATGGTTAGCTTTTCAGCCACACTCTAGCGACAGTTACGCACGACTCCGTAGTTAGCAACCTGTTGCGCAATCGGGTAACTATGGTGTGTAAGTCAGATGGCCACGTAACTTGTAAGTTACTTCGGAATGCATGCCTGCTTGTTGTAACAACTCAATTCTACCCGATGCAGCCTATGATGTCACTTCATTTAGTAGACTGTTTAGCTTCTAGCTGCTCAGGGGATGGACAGAGCCATCTGACAATTAGCAAGCATCATCACATCTGCATCACATGGTACACTCAGCGCTGTAGGTTATGCGAGTAAATAACCGTGGGCAAGATGCATATACTATTCGGTACTAAAGGTAAAGGTATTCTGCAACTGCTGCAAACTAAAAGTGGTCGAACCAGTGATAAAGCTGTGTGCTGCAAGGTCAATTGGCCATTGGACGACCTGTAAAGCTCAGAGATCAGATAATGTACTAGTGGTAGCACAAGTAATGTAGCACACGTAATGTATCACACGTAATGTAGCACACGTAATGTAGCACAGCTAATGTAGCATAGCTAATGCTGCACGACCGAGCAGGAGGATCGGAAGACGGCTCACTGTAACTAGTATTTACTACGTAGTTAGTGTAACTTTTTCAAGGTGCTTAACTTAGCAGGGAAGCATAAGTGTCTCATGTGGGGCGTCCTCTGCATGTAGTTTATCCTCTTGCCCTCAGTTTGGAAGGATGATCAACTGTAAGTTCATGTGCGATGTGCGATGTGCCATGTGCCATGTACGGTGTGCTATCCTGAGAATATGTTTAATTGCTCTATGATTAATGTTTTTGGTCGGTGTGGCAATGAGCCAGTCGTCGGTGGTGGCCGTTGTCATAGCTACTCGGGTACAGCATAAAATGAAATCTATCCAAGGAGGACGTCTGAAGATTTTGAACTAATCTCGCACTTGTGGTTATTCACTCATAGTGATGTGTGTGATTCGGTCATCCCGCATCTCTCTACCTTTGACCATTAGAAAAACTTTAACACCCTTCTTTTCTTTCTTGAAACACCCTCTTCATTAAGTATACATCTATTACCTTTATCTAACTATATTTTAAGATGGCGCCTTCGAAGCTTACCACCGTGGACTTCAACACATTCACCAACATTGTGAATGGCGAGCCGCGCTCTGCAAAAAATAAGTACAACGGCATTGACCCGACTACTAAGGAAAAGCTCTGGGACGTTCCTGTAGCCAGCAAAGAGGATGTCGAAGATGCCGTCAAAGCTGCACACGAAGCTTACAGAAAATGGTCAAAGAAGTCCTGGGAGGAACGCCAGGAGGCACTTGATAGGTTCAAGGATATATATGCAAGCTACATGGATGAACTGACAGAGCTTCTGATGAAAGAGGTCGGCAAGCCGAAAAGGTTGGGTGAACTAGAAATCAAGAGCGGTCTTGCTTTCACTGATTGGCATATGAAGCTCTCGCAGCCGGAACCAGAGCAGTACGAAGACGACGAAAAGACAGTCACAACGAGATTTCTTCCTTTGGGGGTTGTGGTGGCCATTTGTCCATGGAACTATCCCGTCACTTTGTCTTTAGGCAAGATCCTGCCCGCAGTCCTGACAGGGAATGCCATCATTGTCAAACCGTCGCCATTTACGCCTTACTCTACTCTGAAGGTCGTTGAGATCGCTCAGCAAGTCTTTCCGCCTGGACTTGTTCAAGCTTTAGACGGTGATGACAAACTTGGCCCTGCTTTGGTTACTCATCCAGACATCCATAAAGTTTCCTTCACCGGTTCCATTGCCACCGGCAAGAAAAAATGGCAGCAGCTGCGTCGACGCTGAAGCGTGTTACTCTTGAGGTGAGAGTGCCTCCAATTCCCCTGTCCTTTTCACTCCTAACAAGCCGCTCCAGCTCGGAGGTAATGACCCGTGTATCATCCTTCCAGATGTCGATATTGCCAAGACCGCACCTCAAGTGGCCCTCGGCGCCTTTCTCAACTCTGGCCAGATCTGTGTTGCAACCAAACGCATTTATATTCACAAAGACATCTACCGTCCTTTCGTGGACGCCTTGATCTCTTTTACGGAACAACTTAAGGTCGGTACTCCAAAGGGAGAGAATGTAATGCTTGGGCCCATTCAGAACGAGATGCAGTATGACAAGGTGAAAACATTCTTCGAGGATAGCAAGAAAAATGGATATAAGTTCGTAGCTGGGATGGACAACCTGGAGGAAGGGAAAGGATACTTCATCAAACCAGCCATCATCGACAATCCGCCCAATGATTCCAAAATCGTTACGGAGGAGCCGTTTGGACCAATTGTGCCATGCCAACCCTGGGAGGATGAAGCAGAGGTCATTGCCCGCGCCAATGACACAAGGGCTGGTTTGGCTGCGAGCGTTTTTGGCAAGGACCTTGAGAGATGTGAGAGAATTGCCAACCAGATTGAGAGTGGAAGTGTCTTCATCAATTCATTTGCAAAACCTGGTCCAATGGCAATTTTCGGGGGCATGAAAGAAAGTGGGATTGGGGGAGAATGGGGAAAGTTGGGTATGTTAGCATACATGATTCCTCAAGCTATCCATCGATACAAGTAGACACGTTTCTACGTTGTGGATACAAACCTATTACAAGATGAACATCCATATGGCAAGAAACATTTTACCTCATATGAATTGGTTCTGCCAAGACAGTAATCGACATCTTCAGATTTACAACCGGCCCTGTTTCAAGTGTAGCTGTAATACGCCCAGAATAAATGCTATTGCTCAATTTCAAAGGTTCGTTCTATGACAGATTGTGTCGAGTGCAGTCTTACAGCTTAGCTTTGGACTGAACCTTCTTAAAGATAGGTTCGACCGCTGTAGCTTTCGTAACGGCCCCTAGCCACAACGTTAGCCGCCTGTTTCAGGTGATGCCAGCTGCATCTTACCCTTGACTTTTAGCTTGCCAGACATGAACAGTTTCTGCGCATTGGCTTTGCCAGACACAAGCTTTCCAAAATCATCATCCGAGAGTGAAAGGGTGACTATCAACCATGTAAGTCCACATTCCCATGCCCTTCACGCTGTTATATGTTGTAAGTCAGCCTACCATCAACCTTTTTCGGCACGTCTTTTGACACCTTCCCAGTATCTTTCAAGTCGATATACCAGCTATCTTCCTTGCCTTCCTTGTTCTTCAATGTGAAGCCTAGAACTGCTTTTCCTTTTTGGATGGCTTCTTTGCGCTCGGCATCACTAGATGAAAGGGAATCGCTGATCAGGTCAAAGGCTGCTGATGAGGGAAAAGCGTCTACTGCAAGTTAGTCACGTCTCAATACACCACAAGGATAGAAGAACGATATACCATTCTTGAGAGTCATCTTCGAAGTAGGTTTGGAATGATAGTAGATATCCTGAGTCGCTCTTTTGGTTCTTGGGCCTCAAGGGAACAAATGGTAATTGATGGAAGCAAGATGTAGTAGTCAAACAAGTAGTAGTTATAGGATTTAAAATCAATGGAATAGTCAAGACAAGTAGGTCAGACACTGGAGATTGATGCAGCGGACATGTGAATAGAAGCATGTGAAATCGCCGAGGCTTTGGAGGGCTGCCACTGCCATGGCAGTGCTTCAGTGACTCTGGGCGATGTCGGGGCTGGTCTGGCGCTTTACCTATTGTCTTTAAGCACTACAGTACTAACACAAAAGTATCTACGCGCGATAGATTTTAGGACAAAAATCCTACTTTTCCGATTAATCTCAGAGCATTTCTAATTAAACAATAGATAACTTATATAAATAAATTTCTATATATTAGTAGAACTTTTTACCACTTATTATCTTATAAAATTTTGGGGATGAAATTAAGCTAATAAAATAAACTAACGTCCTATACGGTTGCGTGCAACATACGGTCCCGTGCAACACCAAATTTTTACAACGCAATTTGAGATACAACTTCAAACAGTCATCATTTCGTCACCACAACCAATTCTCTTCGAAACAGGTCCAAATTGAAGCTGAGCATCCTATCTATCTATTGGTACTCATAATGGCTGACAAATATGCTGATTTATCCAGTTCTGAGCGTGTGGATGCAGCCGTTCAATTGCTCCATGAGAATCCTTCATTAAGCCTGCGAAAAGCAGCCACTATCTGCAATATTCATGC